AGAGAGAGAGTGAGTGAGATTACCTTAGACATGGAGCGGATGCCGTACGGTGAAAGGAACTCCTCCTCATCCAGCATGTATTTCAGCACCTTCTCCAGCTGTTCTCTCTTGGGGATGGCCAGGAGTTTCTCAACCGCAGGGTCCCCCACACAGTCCTCCGACATCTCCATGTACGAGATCTGGGCAAAAATGTGGCAGATAAAAAAGTGATCTTGCTCCAGTTTTACCTCACTGAAGAACTACATTTCTTGTAATCTAGCACTGGTTGTCACTGCTTTGAATGTACTTTGTATTTTGTGTAATTTTCGAAAACTGTGCACTGCTTTTTACTCAAGAAAAGTTTAATCTGTGACATAGTGTACATGTATTTTGGCTTGATGTCAATATGGACATGCACTGTAAAGATACCAGTAGTATGTGAAGGTAAAATTTAATCAACAAAGAGTTTACGACGCTTTGATTGAAGACAAAGAGTAACCATGAGGATCCCAACCTTAGACCACATCAATATCTGATGCTTCAGGCAATGCTTAATCAAATTCAGCCAAGCTTCTGTTATCAAACTGACCTTTAGAAAGAAGAACGGTACGGTTGAGATGAAACGCACGGCTTGTTTATGCCCAAGGCAAAACTTAATTCCCAGTGATCATCCAAGAAAGGGACGGTAATTGCCTACCCAAATTCAATTAAGGAACGGAGTCAATCTCCTTCTACGAACCATGTACTCCCTTAAGCTTGTAATGACTGGGAGTGGGATGCAGATTTGTTCAACAAGAACCAGGCTGAGAAAAGCGCCTCTGGGTGATTGATTATGGTACTGCAGCTATCTATTTATCACTGACTAGCTTCCTTGTATAATCACTACATTTCTGAAAAGGGTAAAGACTAAAGGGCACAATAAAAGAATAATATTTTAACCTTCTGCCTATTAAGGTAGCCATTTGACACCAAATTTGTACTGATGCAAAGAGGGTCCAGTAAAAAAGTAAAAAATTTTTTACTGGCACTCCCCCTGGCTCAATTTTTTTTCATTGGCCCTTCCCCCTTCCTGAAATCACACTCTAAGACAAGAACACTCTATACCAATTCATCGGCAAGACCGAGCCAAGTCCGAAAGCCACAACAGGCAGCAGGGAGAAGGTGAAACACTGATCTCTCCAAAAACAGAGGAAAAGTACAAAAACCTGACTCACATTCTGTGCCACATCCGCCCGGTTCTTGATGAACCAGTTCAGCCTCTTGGTGAACCCCTCCAGCTTCTCCAGCCGGCTGGAGTTCAGTACCAGACAGGCGAACAGCGGCACCAGCCCCACCATGGACCGGATACGCATGGGCGTCGTCACACCGTCTACTGTCAGCTGGTCGTAGTAGAACCCATCCTCTTTGTCCCACAGGCCTGGAAAGTGGTAAAGTAACAGTCCATTTTTATCAGAAATGATTGTCGGTAGATCTATACATCTTTATGTGAAATATTCTAAAAGTTAGCTTTAAATGATGAACAAAATGGTCTAACCCTCTGAAGATGGGCAACAGACGATAAACCAGAAAGTGAGGGAGTGAAATCTTTAATTAATGGGTAAAATAAAGTTAGCTTTAAATGGTAACCATATTTAATAGATACATTGTACTGTATTTGTATTGTACTGGGTGGGCTGGCTACCCTCTCTTTGCAGCCAGGGCTGAATTGTGAGGAGCCTACAATTATTGGCACTTAATCACAAGGATCAGGAGCAGCTGACATTTGGCGCTAACTCAGGTGATCTCAATATGACCCAAGGTGCAGCCATAGGACTGTAAGGTTTGAACCAGTCAACATTGCAGACTGAAGTTGTTTCTTTCACAAATAAGAAGTACAGTTTTGAAACGAGCCATACTAAAACTCTTCTGACACTTACCCAATCCACTACCTGCTTGGTTCATGGCATCTGCAATGGCCACAAAGTGCTCGAAGAACTTGCTGGCCATGTCCTCATACGTGGGGTCAGTCAGGGCGAGTTCCAGTGCCATGTCCAGCATCTCTGCACAGAAGAAGGCCATCCACGCCGTGCCATCTGCCTGGTACAGCTGTCCTCCGTGTGGCAGAGGCTTGGATCTGTCAAACACTCCTGTTGAAGAACAAAAGGACAAAAAGTCTTTTTACTTGTGATTTTGAACTTCCATACTTAATCATTTTTCTAAACCCAGGAAAAAAAAGATTGCTGGCTTAATTATCACAGGAGGAGGTTGAAAGTTGTAAATATTTCATATTTGTCACACATTTTCTGATGCAAAATATCACATATGTCATAATGTCACATATATAATATACTTTTATCTAAGTTTGTAATTAGTATGAAAATAATTATTGCATACATTGGATTTGTAGCCACATACATCAAAAGCCTATTTGGTAATATGATACCTTTCCCTCTGATCGAATGGCATAATTAATATAATTCAAAGGAATGAACTTACCAATGTTATCCAGTCCAAGGAAGCCCCCAGCAAACAAGTTCTTCCCATCTGGGTCCTTCCTGTTCACCCACCTGAGAAGGAAGGTGCAGTTTCATCAAGTATCACCATGTGGTGCTTCTACAACATGACAACAGCAGCCAAAATATGATGGTATTTTTAATATCCTTTGTATCTGTATCTGTATAGCCGGTATAACCGCCTTTTGGCGTAACACACCAGCTTCGCAGGCACGCGGCGCGGCAGCAGCTGGTCATATTACACCGATCTTGCCACAAAGATAGTAGCCCACAGAACAATAGCCTGGATGGAAGACCCATAGATGTAGCACACTAGGCCCAAAGTTATCCAGTGCACACTAGACCCAAAGTTATCCAGTGCACACTAGGCCCAAAGTTATCCAGTGCACACTAGGCCCAAAGTTATCCAGTGCACACTAGGCCCAAAGTTATCCAGTGCACACTAGGCCTAAAGTTATCCAGTGTGCACTGTATAACTCTGGGCCTAGTGTGCTATGAGTCTGCCATCAAGGCTAACAGAGCAAGTCACTATGAATACTACATATAAACTTTATAATCTAAAAAAAAATGTTGTCCTTACCAGGTGAAGTTTAAGACCAGTTTCTGGAAACATCTTGCAAGGAAGAGCCTGTCCCGGTACCCTCGCTTGCCAGTCATCTTGAAAACCCTCCGTACAGCCCAGGCATGCACTGGGGGGTTCACGTCACCAAAGGCAAACTCATAGGCAGGGATCTGAAATCATGGGTGAAAAGAATTGCGATACTGTAATTGTTGAAAAAGCTCAAGCGGGAAATACATTTATTTATATGCACTTTACTGTTGTATGTAGGAAAACGTAGGTACATACATTTGTACATGTAATACTATGTATTGTGCCCTTTGACAGAACATCTCGTTTAAGGTCTTATTCACATATTTAAGGATGGCGTCCTGTACATTTGTAGTTTTCAAATGTTGTATTGGAAAAGACATTGTCTGCAATGGGCAAAATTCTGATGTAACATTGACCAAATATCCAACAAAAACCGTGAAAAGTATGTTCTTCCAACATGCTCACCTGTCCATTAGGATGCATGTACCACTCCCTGAGGAACAGCAGCAGCTGGTTCTTGGCAAACTCAGGATCAATCTTCACAAAAGCCACCATGTGGAAGGCAAGGTCCCAGGACGCATACTGGGAAGAGAAAGGCAAAGGTCAGTCAAAATAAACTACATTTTGTAATGAAGTGGTGTGGAAAATAAACAGTTATCATAATGGCAGGTGGTTGGTAAAAATGCATCAATGCTCACTCAGTATGTTGTACTCTCAAACTTTTTGTCAGCTGATATCACTACTGTACATAATCTAGCAATTGTTAAGAGTAGACATTCAATTTTGTGCAATGCATACTTTAAGTCCATTTTTTGATGCCTAATATTAACAGAAGAGAACAGACATCCTGACTGTTCAACTTCTTAACAGTCCAGTTACCAGAATGACACTGCAAAGGTTAAAGACTGAATACCACTGAACTTTAACCCTTAACCTCTGCCCTTACCCATGGGTACTCCCACTTGTCTGGCATGGAGATGACGTCCCTGTTGAACAGGTGTCTCCAGTCACTGTTCCTGCCGGCCTTACGGGACGGGGGAACCTTAACCCTTAACCCTTAACCTTATAGCTTAACCCTTGACCTCTGCCCTTACCCATGGGTACTCCCACTTGTCGGGCATGGAGATGACGTCCCTGTTGAACAGGTGTCTCCAGTCACTGTTCCGACCGGCCTTACGGGAGGGGGGCGGCGCCGGCTGCTCAGGGTCACCTTGCAACCAGTCCTGGGTACGATCATAACATGGTTAAGATGTTGGAAATATGACATCTAATTTTCCCATTGTTATTAGCATCAACTTAAATATTTTTGAAAATGAACGGATTCAACAATTTTCTAATCGGAAACCATCAGAGAATTTTTAAATCATCATTTTCCCTTGGCGACAGTGCTTTCAACAAGCAAAATGTGAGTTAATTTTTATTAGAGGGGGCCAATGAATAGGCCAATTGATTACACTTAACAGTAGATTTCAGAGGCTGTCTGAATACAATCATAAATCGAAACTTCTTCTTTTAGTAAATTGAGACTGCTCCCTATGCATTACACAAAATTGTATCCTGTTGCCTACAAATAAATGTCAGCTGTTTTCACATTTACCAGGAGTGGTGTACACATACCTTGACAATGTAGTGATAAAACTGCTTACTCCACAGCAAGCCTCCGTATGCCTGTTTAGCTACCAGGTACTGTTGAGAATTCAGCTTGGAGCACATCGTCTGCACAACAGAAATGGAAATCCATGTACTGCAAGAGTCTGCAAGATGATGTTATTTCACCAAAAAACTAGCACCAAGGACAAAACCAACGTGTTTGTAGCAACATAAGCAACGCTATGATTGTGCTCAAATTAGTTTGCAAAGCAATTACCCCAGAGAAATTATTGCACATATCTCAGTCCTGATGATTCTGATAATAATACATCTGATGCAATGTATTACCTGGTGGAAATTAGCACCAAGGACAAAACCAACGTGTTTGTAGCAACATAAGCAACACTATGATTGTGCTCAAATTAGTTTGCAAAACAATTACCCTAGAGGCATTTTTGCACATATCTCAGTCCTGATGGTTTTGATATACATCTGATGCAATGTATTACTGTTGGTAAATTGCTGGAATGAATTGACTTTTATCAACCCTGAATACACATCATTAGGCCACACCAATCTAATTTGTTGGTTCTCGGATTCGCCTCTTCATTTTTTTCTGATTTGCAAAAAAAAAAAAAAATTCAGAATCACCTGCAAAATGCTCATATTTTGCCCTGAACAGTTGAAAACAGTCCTTTTCTTCCTAGTCGTTATAGTTATTCCATCTTTCAATGCAGTAGTATCATTAGAAGTTCAAAATTCATTGTTTAAATTTTGAACCAGCCTTTTGTGTTGACTTCATACCTCCTATCGTAGCATTTGGGGCTATAATAGGATGCCTAGATCTGTTTTTATTTTTTATTTTTTTTCGCCCTGTTGCTTCATATTTTTCCTGAAAAAATCCGAGAACCAACAAATTAAATTGGTGTGGCCTTATACCGGCTATATACAGACACAGATACATCATGTAATTCCAGCTGCAATGTAGCTATGGGATAAGATGTAAATACTGACACAGCCAGCGGATGAGCTTCAGTCCCCATTATGGAAACATACGTCTCCATTTCATACATGAGAAAATCCCATCAGTTTGTTCTGATACAGTTGGGTATGAATGCGATAACACGATGTGTGCTTTTGCTTCCGCAGCTAAAAATCCAATTATTCGACTGTTGATAGAAACGGTACTTCCGATAAGATTCGGCAAACGAGATTGGACGAGAGCAGATGGGGGTGCCAAACCTTGTAAAAGCTCTCTGCCTCTTCCTTCCTCTGCTGCAGGATAGTCTCAAACCCAGACACTCTGAAGAGGGGCAACACTTTTACAGCTAAAAATCTAATTATATGTCTATTCATGGAGCAGATGAAAGTGCCAAACCTTGTAAAAGCTCTCAGCCTCTTCCTTCCTCTGCTGAAGAAATAGAGTCTCAAACCCAGCCACTCCGAAGAGCAGCAATACTTCTACAGCTAAAAATCTAATTATATGTCTATTCATGGAAGTGGTGCTTCCGATAAGATTCGGCAAATGAGATTGGACGAGAGCAGATGGAGGTGCCAAACCTTGTAAAAGCTCTCTGCCTCTTCCTTCCTCTGCTATAGAATAGTCTCAAACTCAGCCACACTTCTACAGCTAAAAATCAAATTATACTACTGTTGATAGAAACGGTGCTTCCGATAAGATTCAGCAAACAAGATTGGACGAGAGCAGATTGGGGTGCCAAACCTTGTAAAAGCTCTCTGCCTCTTCCTTCCTCTTCTGCAGGATAGTCTCAAACCCAGCCACTCAGAAGAGCGGCAACACTTCTACAGCTAAAAATTTAATTATACGTCTTTTGATAGAAGCGGTGCTTCCGATAAGATTCGGCAAAGGAGATTGGACGAGAGCAGATGGGGGTGCCAAACCTTGTAAAAGCTCTCAGCCTCTTCCTTCCTCTGCTGCAGGATAGTCTCAAACCCAACCACACTTCTACAGCTAAAAATCTAAGTGTACATCTGTTGATAGAAACGGTGCTTCCGATAAGATTCGGCAAACAAGATTGGACGAGAGCAGATGGGGGTGCCAAACCTTGTAAAAGCTCTCTGCCTCTTCCTTTCCTCTGCTGCAGGATAGTCTCAAACCCAGCCATGCCAAAGAGGGGCAACACTTCTACAGCTAAAAATCTAATTATATGTCTATTCATGGGAACAGTGCTTCTGATAAGATTTGGCAAACAAGATTGGACGAGAGCAGATGAGGGTGCCAAACCTTGTAAAAGCTCTCTGCCTCTTCTTTTCTCTTCTATAGAATAGTCTCAACCCCAGCCACTCTGAAGAGGGGCAACACTTCTACAGCTAAAAATCTAATTATATGTCTATTCATGGAAATGGTGCTTCCGATAAGATCCGGCAAACGAGATTGGACGAGAGCAGATGGAGGTGCCAAACCTTGTAAAAGCTCTCTGCCTCTTCCTTCCTCTGCTGCAGAATAGTCTCAAACCCAGCCACACTTCTACAGCTAAAAATCTATTAGTAAGTGTATATCTATTGATAGAAACGGTACTTCCGATAAGATTCGGCAAAGGAGATTGGACGAGAGCAGATGGGGGTGCCAAACCTTGTAAAAGCTCTCTGCCTCTTCCTTTCTCTGCTGCAGGATAGTCTCAAACCCAGCCACTCCGAAGGTCGGAACGTCGTCCTCGGCCTGGTCGTCCCGGAAGAGCCTGCAGCACACCGTGGCCTGTTTCCCGGGCTTGACCTTCAGGACGTAGTGTGCCGCGACCTTGGTGCCGATACCTTTCGGGTTTACAGCGTCTTCCTCACCTGGAAGAATGGGACATTTGAAGATTTTGGATTCTTCTATGCTTCAACTTTTGCAATATAGAAAATTATTATGGCTATTCTACGAATCAATACAGTATGTCACACAATCAATGAATGTGATGCCATGGTCCACTGTTCATTATTCTTGTTCTTGTCGAAAAGAGCTAGGGAAATTTCCCTGGTACAATGAACTTAATGCACAATGTGAATACTGTACATATAGCATCTGTCCTCTCTGTCACAACCAGTGGAAGATTACATGTACATGTGGTAGTTCAGTGAAGTAAAACTGGATCGAGATCACTTTGAAATTCATGTTTTCAAAGAAATACAAGTTCAGTTTTCTACTAGTAACTGCAATTGTCTCACCTTCAATGATATACCTGTGGAAGGCATCCTTAACATAAGGGGTGTAAGTCTCTACTCCAAACAACTTGACAGAGTTGGTCTCGTTCTCCGTGAAGAGGAGCTCTGGAAGCCTTCCATCTGGTCCCTTGTCAACCGCCCAGGTGAAGGTTTCTATGAAGATATAATTTTCAGACACCTGTCAAGCAAGTTTGTAAAGTTAACATGAACAGTATAGCTTTTAAACACTTGTTAAGGATGTTTGTAAGCATAAACTGTGAGTTTGTTTTTAATTGAGGTACCTGCTAAGCAAATTTGTAAAACTGTTGACAAGTACAATTACATGTTGCAGTATGGTCAGGGCTGTCCTGGAAAGGGTAAAAATTGGGCTTGTGTGATTTTTTTCTGAAAATACAATTTTTCAAACTATTGAGTAAGTTGAAGGATTTTTGCATTCAATTTACTTAGTAATTTAGTATTACCCTGCTGTAAGTGTCAGCCAAATTAAACTTTCTGGTGGCCTGTGGTTTATTTGGTAAGAAGGAGCACATGTCACACAAATGTGAAAAAATGTCACACAACTTGAAAAAATAGGTGATATACAAGTAGCCTACCAAGTGTCTCGTGTGTACATTTCACACTGTCCTCCCCCGTTTTCTTGATCTTTGGCTTCATGGTACATCCCTCGTGTGTGCAGCCCCAAATCCAAGTGTTCCTGTACCACAGAGTTGGCAGCAGGTGTAGCGTAGCCTCTTCAGGACCACGGTTATGCACCGTGATCTTACACAGGACGTCATCAGGGCTGTGCTTGGCATATTCAGCATACACGTCCCAGTATCTGTTCTCGTCAAATGCACCTGGAATGATAAGATAAGTGTGAGGGTAATTTCCGGTTATTCGTGGTTTGATAAGGGAGACGTTTATCGTTTCCCTGCACTCTGACATTTGGCCTAGATTTTGTGCGCCGTAGAGTGACCATAAAAAAAGGATTTGAGTCATCGTTGAGTTTAAGTATAAATCATCATGTCATGTGAATTTAAAAATCATGGAAAAGTTTCTGGTTATTCGCAGTTTGATAAGGAGACATCGTTTCCCTGCACTCAGACTTTAGATTTTGTGAGCCGTCTAGTGACGTAAAAGAAAGGATTTGAGTCATCCTAGATCAATTTTAAGTATAAATCATCAGGTGATGTGAATTTAGAAATGATGGAAAAGTTTCTGGTTACATGTATTTACAGTTTGATAAGGGAGACATCACTTCTCTGCACTCTGACATTCGGCCTAGATTTTGTGAGCTATTGAGTGACCGTAAAAAAGGATTTGAGTCATCCTCGATCAGTCTAAGTATAAATCATCAGGTCATGTGTCATGTAAATCTAAAAATCCTGGAAAAGTTGACGTCATATGAGGCATCAGCAGTCAAATGTGCCAAATAATGGATAAAGTTGCCTTCAAGTTGATTTTTCACAAAAGCAACCTTTTTTTAATACATATATACATGTAGGTATAGCTGCTACCAGGACAGATGATGATGATGATGACCATGAACATTTTCAAAACAACTTTTTGTTAGATAAAATGAAACATAATGTTATCTGCACCAGTGCTGGTATGCACCGTATTTCAAACCCTGGTCCTGCTTGTAAGATTTTGTGTAGTTCAGTGATTACATATAAACTGCTAAAACTATAAACCATTTTTCGCATCCACTGCCTTGAAGAGTGGGCAAATCAGATTATAATCTTACACTATAACAGGATTTGGAATAAACCCCACAGCACTGTGATCCATCAGTCATACATTTTGCATAGATCACTGCTTTGTTGTAAAATTCTCCCTAATGTCTAATCAACAACAAAGGCCAGCCACCCTTCTCTGGATTACCTTCACTTTACATCGATGAAGGGTAGACATCCAGTTCACTGATCACTCAAGTCTTCACTTATTTGCATATCAATAAATAGGTTATGCTTATAAACCTGCATTTCTCCTCTGGTCTTTCAGTCACTGACGAAAGCTAGTGGATGCTACCTGAAACGTCTGACCATTTCCAAAATCATATCCAGTTGCTTGAGTAACTGTTTTTTGGCATACCTTCACTTTACATACCCTGTCTTGATTGCCCACGCATCAACCTTTCCTGTCATATGTAAGCCTTCTTCTTGAGTGATCAGTGAATAGGATAATAAGACTTGAAATCTCAGCCTGAATCAGAGCTTTGAAGTTTACATTTGGCACTTTGCTCAGGAAATAGAACTCAGTCACCCATCATATATATTGATCCTTAGGTTAATACTTTGCTCAGATCCAATTAGAAAATAAGTGACCTAGTACTTAGGCTGTTTTTTTTTTCAAAGATGACATCAACCTACTTATTGTGAAGTGTCTAAAATAAAACTCAAGTATTATATATTAACACCACCTTCTTTTCTTCCAAATAAAGGTCCATTCACATTTTCAGCAAAACAAGACTTAGTCTACAACAAGAGTGCCAGTGGGATGCCATTTGTGACTTTGATTAATTATTTTCTGTACAAAATTGAGGGAAAAGCTATAGCTAGATGAAGAAGGAATATAACAGTTACTGCTCCCTAACATCTAAGAATCGAATACAAACCTGTATAATGCAGGTATGCTCACCTGTGTCTTCCAGTTCATACTCCAGATCATGAAAACCCCTTCCCCGGTTTTCCCCTGTGAGTTTTGCGTAGGGAAACTCGTTCTGCGGGTACTTGTAGAGGGCGCGCATGTAGGAATGTGTCGGGGTGGAGTCCAGGTAGTAATAACACTCCTTACAGTCTTCTCCATGGTTCCCCTCTGGACCTACCATTATAAAACAATGTATACATTAATGATATAATCAGTATAACATTTATAGTTCTTCTGTTCCTGACATTTGGGGAAACAACAGTTAAATGTGCAAAGGTAGCTATATACAATGTAGGTGTAACAGGTGGTTCGGTGTATTATACTAGTAGCCAGCTACTGCTGCACCACATGTCTGCGAAGCTGGTGTGTTATGCCAAGGGCAGTTATACTGGATATACAGATCCAGATCCTCCCTCTCTCTCTTCAAATGTGTGCGAGTGAATGAGTGAGTGAGTGAGTGAGTGAGTGAGTGAGTGAGTGAGTGAGTGAGTGAGTGAGTGAGTGAGTGAGTGAGTGAGTGGGTGAGTGAGTGAGTGAGTGAGTTAGTTAGTGAGTGAGTGAGTGAGAGTGTGAGTGAGAGAGTGAGTGAGCGAGTGAGTGAGTGAGTGAGAACCTTTCATGTCTTGAGTGTATATCTGAACAGAAACAATTTACCTGTAAGTCCGTAAAGCCTCTCTTTCAGAATGGGGTCCTTCCCATTCCAGAGGCCCAGTGCAAAACAGAGCCGCGCCTGTCTGTCCGTGATTCCCAGAATTCCATCCTCTCCCCATCGGTACGCTCGAGAACGAGACTGGTCGTGTGAAAAATAGTCCCAACTGGAAGGAAATAACAGGTGCTAGTATCCAAATGAACCACCTGCTCTACACAGCATTGAATGGATAAGTGATTAGGCTAGCAGACATGAGAGAGAGAGAGAGTGAGAGGGGTCATACTCATAGATTCAATTCCTGTCATTTCTGACGAGACTTTGTGTCCTTGGGGAAGGGCTATTTACCACACGACTTTACTTGCTTCACCAAGGTGCAAAATGGGTACCTGATATGACTTTGGTTGAGGGGGGGGGTATGTATGCCCTTATCTTTTGCTAACTGTCCTCTAAAGGATTGCAAGTTAACTTGACTAGCTCAGTAACTTTTTTTATGAGTTTAATCACAGAAATCAGCTAGAGTTCGGAGGGCTCATGCCTTCGACAGTGTGATATTGTTTTGGTGGGTGTTGTGTGTGTGTATAGTGTAGGTTTTTTGAAGATGATTATCGTAGTTATAGTGGTCAGAGATTCCTTTTGTGAACGAAGCAACATACTATTTCTCAAGCCTGTACCATGTCTTTCTACGAAAATACGGATCATAGAATTTGGCACCAAAGGAGAGAGAATTGGCCTGGGGAGTTTGGCCGCGAAAGGTTGTTTTCTTCCCTCCTGGCCATTGTGTACAGTATACTTTGTTCCCGAATAAAACACATACCAGATGTTCACACTGGGGCCCACAGAGCTGTCAAATTAGCACGCCCCTGCTGGGGCACTCTTGGCTGGGGCAATGTTGTTTCAACAAACATTCAAAGAAAATGTTTGTCCCACAAAAGCCACTGTTGACAGCTTCCTGTCTGTAACTTGTTGTTTTAACCTAGATAGAAAACCAAAGCAAGACTTCACCTGCCCTTAAAAATGTTCAATCACCAAAAGCCCACTACAGCAATGTACGGACCTCCCACGACGCCCATTTCCAAACTTGATCTTGCTATCGTCAATGGTAAATTGCTCACAAAAAATCGTGAACATCCATTTGCAGATTCTCGAATTATCCTGCTAACAACAATAACAACCAACACAAAAGGTCAAATTCAATGACATGGGAACCCCCCTTGAGGCCCATTTCTGAACTTGACCTTCGTATTCTCAACGGTAACTTGCCAACTAAAAATCATAGACAACCATTTATTAAGGATTCCCAAGTTATCTGGAGTACAACAAAAAATGCAAACACAAAAGGTCAGCTCCAGTGACGTAAGAACCCCCCCCCACGAAGCCCATTTTTGGCCTTGACAATGCCCATCACTAAGACAATCTGCCTGCCAAAAATCATGAACCTCGGACCACGCCTTCAAAATTTGTCGTGCATAATCTGCCAAACAGTGCCAAAACGATTTCATAGCCTTCTTGTCGAAGGCAATAAACCACTAAACTCAGTGAGTTCCACAAACAAAGAAAAAGTCTATTGGCCCATGTGGCCAGGGGGTGTCTTTTTTTCAGAAAGATTTCTCTCTTGCACTTTCATATACGGTTTTGAGGTCCACGCCGGGTATAATAGAGAGAAGGAAGTTAGCCAATGTCTTTACTTCCTCTTCTGAGAAATGCAATATATTTGTGGGTTGGCAAGTCCATTGCTGACTGACTCGGTACTTTTTCACTCAGTTCCTGGTCAATTTCATGCATCAAAAAGTCATTGTCAAGCTCTAATAGTAGAGTGTCATAATTTGTAAAGTTAAATTTGGCTTCTGAAGTCAACTGATACGAGATTCCTACACATTTTTGTCTAGTAGTTTGAAAGTTTCTGCACGCTCAAGTTTACTTCCGGGTTCAGGCGACGGCAGGTTTTATTGAACCATATCCGAGTTAGCACTCTACTTGCATGGCAATAGGGGACTCACAAATAGATATCTTTGCATTCTAATATCCTGGAGCATAAATTTGGACGGCTATGGCATCTAAGCCCGAATTTTACGCAAGCAACATGTGTTTTTGACATATCATAATTTGACTCGACCGCCATACGAATTTGCATAACTTTAACACACAGAAAAACTCGTATATTTTACAAAACAAGGACTCACCAAGACCCGTCTTCTGAGTAGTCTTCCCTGACGGTCCCCCACTGACGCTCAGACAGGTAAGGGCCCCACCGCTTCCAGTTTTTCAGCCGAAGTTTGTCTTCTGCTAGCCGGTCTATCTCTTTCCCTGCTGCCATTTCTTGTCAATGGGTGACCTGAATACAACATTCAGGGATGATCGCAACAGAATGCATTTAGCAAAGTAAACCAATAAAATTACTCAAAACACTGGCATAGTCTTTCGTGTGAATACAAATACACAATATTAGTGAATTGATATAGAATATAGATATCAATCAATACAGAATGTAGTATTTATTGGTATTATTATTTTCACTTGAGCTACTTAATACTTTACATTTGCCTGCGGTGGAATTAGAGTGGGCGTGGCACTAGGCGGTGTCACATACGTCTGTGAGCAGGTTGTTTGGACAAATGTTTTCTTTCGCCTCGGTTAATTTTTATCCATCAATCATTTGGAGAAAGGGCTGTGTCACGCTGTGTGTAGTTCTTTCCAGATTTGCTAAGTCATCGTGAAGCGCTGACAACGTGTCTTTGCTAGTAGCTGTGACAATCTACAAATTGAGCAACATATAATCATCATCATAATATATAATGATAATATTTGAAGTTCGTCAGAATACGTAGGGGATTTGCTTGGCTTAGAGCAAAACCCCTACTTTAAAATCAATCAAGTTTCAAGTAACCATAAAACTTTCAAGGCTGCAAAGAAAGTCACAAGACCTAGCTTTCTAAGTTTGTTAATAATTTGCGGACTCAAGGTTTTTTTTGCTCCCATGAGAAATTTCGTGCTATCAGTGCATCCTAAGTCGTTAATGCCAACGGTGTACACTTAATTGGTTTCTGTTTACGAGGTATAGTTATGACAAGATGATGGCAAATTATGTGTAAAGTTTCCTCCGTGATGTAGAGGCAACCTGTTGCACATGCACCCTTCAATATGATACTATAAGGTAAAAGTAATTCATTAACGGTATACTATTATTTCGAGTCATTCAATCATTTTAATAGCTTTTATATAAGAAGAATATAACTTATTATAAGAAAGAGGTACAAACATATTAAGCACAATGAGAAGTAACAAGGGAGCTGGCGATATAAATGTAATATATACTATCAAATGAGTTAATACAATTGGATTAAATTTGAATTATTATCTTATTCTATCCACTGTATCAAATTTCGTCTCACTCCCCCAGCGAAGCCAAGCTAAAGATCAAATTTCCCCTTCGTCATACTCATATGTGAACAAATCTCTATAGGATCCACATATCCATTTTACGCCTGATTTTTTTTTAATTAGTCAGATAGCAGCATATGGAAAGACACAAATCACATATTTTCAAGGAAGTTTCTGACAACGACGGGATATTGTTTTTCTTCACAATATGATATTTTACCTAACGATTGTTTGTGAAGTTCCTTCGCTGGTGTACTTTTCTTGTAGCCCCTACCAGGCTTTGGGGACGGCTGGAAAGAGCAGACATTGTCAAAATAGACAGATTAAAACATACCAGGGGAGTTAGTCCGCCTGAGGACTTAAACGTGTATAGAAAGCAGCAAACTGTACTCCTTTAGCAGATCAAATCCATTGGCATGTTATCTGTCTATTTGGTTAATTTCTACTTTTGCCGACAGCCGCGTCTGAAGCCTGGTAGAGGCTACTTTAATTTCCTTAAGATTGACGTAACAGGATAATTACAAGCAAGATAAGCAAGACGTCATATTGATGCAGTCCCATTAAAGAGCACCGCAGGAGGGAGGCTTCTAAGAATCAGAAGCGTCATTAAGCTGCAATAACTGATCATCATAATAACTAATAAGCTGCAATAACTTCATTTTAAGTTGATAACGGCTGTAACACTGCAAGCAGCCCAAAGCCCACACTTGGCTTTGCTGGCACATCGAATTTTCGACTGACCTCAGTTGTAGTTTTCATCAGAATACAATTTTTTGCAAGTGACCGAAACTTAACCCCAACCATTAAGCCATTCGTTATGTCATTCTTATCTGCTTTTTCTGAAGTGTATTTTTCTTATCACAAATGTGCACATAACACCTCAAGAAGAATTCAACCTCAAATTGAAATGATGTACAAGCGTTATGTGATACTATTACGTAAGGATCAATTAATTTGCTACTGGAGGGGGTATTCTGTTTTGATAACGGTTTAAGCAAGTTTTTCGCGTCGCTCGCTATCAAAAAACGTCCCCGTTGGCTATAAGGTTCAACTGAATGTTATCAGTGGATGAAGAATGCGAGGGCTGAATTCAGGAGACAATAATTATGCTTACAAGCGCTCGCAATATGATGCACACGCCTGGTATCATTTCCGCTGTGCCCTCTTTTCAATAAACATCACTGTACACTCATCGGGACTATCCACAAGTTAAAGGGTGGGAGCACACAACCCCTCCTCTACGGGCATACATGGTACTTCCCTTTTGGTTACACTATCACTGGTGGGTTTGTGTTAGAAGCACCATCTGCTAAAGCTCTACTGGTAGTTCGTGACTTAAGTGGTTGCTAACATTGGGACAGCAGGCTTGCTGACTACTAGGGCTCAGTGTCGTCATAATTGCAGCAGAGAAGAGCAAAAACAGCCGTAATACCTATAAGGTCTATAACGTATCTGTATCTGTATAGCTGGTTTAACCGCCCTTCGGCGTAACACACCAGCTGCTGTATTTGTATAGTCGGTATAACCGCCCCTCGGCGTAACACACCAGCTTCTGTATCTGTATAGCCAGTATAACCGCCCTTCGGCGTAACACACCAGCTTCTGTATCTGTATAGCCAGTATAACCGCCCTTCGGCGTAACACACCAGCTTCTGTATCTGTATAGCTTCGAAGGCACGCGGCGCGGCACGGCGGCAGCTGGCTATATTACACCGAACGACCTGTTACACCTCACCCTAAAATGTTGATGTATTAATTGACTGGTGTATATCAAGCCAAAGAAAATCACTTAAATCCTATTTTTATTCGTGTGCCCACAGGAGAGAGGAAAAACAAGCGTAATACCTGCAAAGAAGGATTAAAACACAAAATGTCATCGACAAAATAAGTCAGAATAAATCTCTTTAAGTCCACTTTATTCCCCTGTCCTTTAAGCACGCCCTTAAGCGGGAATGTAGCAAACATAGTAAATGTCAAAGTACTTAAAAGTAAATCCCGAAAAGAAGTTACTTAAGGTGTTTACACATTTCGCATCAGGTCATTGACCATGTGGCTTAACCACACCATGAGCAAAAACAAAGGAACCAGTAGCTAGTACCCATACATGTGCCTAGAAACATTGGATGTCATTGAACTAACAAACAGTTAACTTCCGTGAGGCAATCTTGAGAATATAAATCTTCACAACTGGTCATGATCGCTCACGTTCACATTTTGCAGCCTTACTTTGCTTATAATTACATCCAAACATGCGCGACTCCAGTGCTATCATGAATCCCCGTCACCACACACGTCACACTCCGCATATAGACTCGGTAGCTAAAATAGGCCTGATAACCAGACTATCACCTACAGGTAGCCGCATCACTCCGCAGGGGTCCATCTTTCTCTGTCAGCATCATTATATAAGATCCGCCCATTCTGAATTAAGTACTACAAGGAGGCTGCGGCGACGAGCTGAGGTTCTAGATCTATCTTGCAGGCAAAGCTGATCACCTCCTCATCTCACTGTTTTGCTTCGCGAATTTGCGAAGGACTTGCGGTTCGCACCTATCTGAGATAACCAACAGGTATGCATTCTGTGGAATGATTCCTTCTTTGTCTTCTCCGTAGAAATGCTGCATGTATGCAATCCGGTGTGGGTCTTAATACCATATTTAGCGTTGTTTGTCTGAACTGAGGAACGATAGCAAATTGTAGGTATGACTTTGCAGCAGCCTAAAGGATGCCTTGAAAATTTCGTTCGTTTGTGTTCTGCCTTGGAACTTCGTTCCGCTTTCGAGAGGTAGCTTTTGTTGCATCTTTTTGGATTGCCCTTATTCACATTTCTCTTGCCAAAGACGACAAGAAATCTCTATGCCTAGCTACATTGTGGTGTAAATGTGTATAAATGTTTATCTTGAATATTTTCCTTACTCAATCAGTGATCTCCATGTTGCATAGTTTTCCATTTTTTACTCTCCGTGTGATTTTCATTTCCTTTCAAGTCCATTTTTGGTCCCAGTACATCCGTAGGTCCGTAGAACAGCCTAATTTTAGACGTGCTTTTTACATTTGTGTCCCTTATGTTGCTGATAATGTGATAAGCCACGGCTTTTTGGAATCCCACCGGGTGTGTTACGAGTACTTTTCACCGAAGGATTACTGTCGTTCACAGTGTAACGTCGCGCGATCGCAACCTTAGGGCATTCTTAGAATTGTCTTACATGTGTTCTGAAACATTCAGCTGATGTTGAAGGTTACACATCCATGTAATAAGATATAACTAAAAACAATTACTCAAGCAGCTGGATAGGATTTTGGATACGGTCAGACATTGTAAACCTGCATTTCTCCTGCAAGTCTCTGGTGTCACTGACAAAAGGTAGTGGATACTACCTGAAACGTCTGGCCGTTTCCAAAATCATATCCAGCTGCTTGAGTAACTGTTTTTGGCGTATTCAACTGTCAGCGTTCTCGCAAAAGGCTACCATAAATACATCCTTGCCAGTTGTTCGGTTCTTTCACAGCCTTCTCATTGAAAACACTGCGAGTCTGCGACATCAAAATCGTGCGAAGATCTACGAAGAATATGATAATCATTGCTTCGTTACTCTTTCCAAAGAGGTTCAAACCTCCTTGCTCCTACTATATTATGCGGTACCAAATTGTTTTCCATCAATGAATCCTTATAGGGCGAAGGCGCGCTTGATTATAGCTCGACTCATTATGTTGTAGTGCAAAGGCAACGAACCGTTAAATTGTTTCTCTGACTTCCAAACAAGAACTGTCGCGTCAAAATGAGCCCTGCGCCCAGATAGTCGTGCTGAATGGGCTGGAATGCAGTTGAAACAAGATGAAAACACGACTCACGACTCTTTTTCTTATAACTAAATATATTCACAACATTTTCTGTAGGACAATGAAGACTGAGCAGATGCTAAAATAACTTTTCATAGAGCTATTTTAGAATATCTTAGGAGCGGTGAGAAATTGGTATAACAATGATAGTCGTGCTGAATGGGTCGGAATGAAGTTGAAACAAGATGAAAACACGACTCACGACTCTTTTTCTTAAACCTAAAAATATTCACTACATTTTCTGTAAGACAATGAAGACTGAGCAGATGTTAAAATAACTTTTTATAGGGCTATTTCAGAATCTCTTAAGAGGGGTGAGACATTGATATAACAATTCACGCCAATAGATCTATGACTATTTGCACCATGCGACAGCATCCAAGTCTATAGATTATGAATAAATGAATAAATAAATAAAAATAAAAGTAAGTCAATCGTAAATCTATTGTGTCTAAATTCACAGCGGAGGCAACATACATTCGTCGGCTGTCGGTAGAGTGAGCGTTAGATGTTTTTTCGTCACTTTCATGGTGCAGTTTTAGTCAACCTCTCTCCAACACCTACCGCTCTCCCAAACTCCTATGGCAAGGCGCCGGGAGCATTTTTATGTGGACACTATCAAAGCAAGAGTTCTAATATGTTGGTCTCTTTCCAGTACAGTTTGTTAGATACTCAGATCGTCGGTAAAAGTGCATCCAAGAATTACTATCTATTCGCAACAGCTGCTCAAGTCCACTAGCTTTGCAAAATGTCTAAGAAAGGACAATTTTTTTAGTATCAATCAGACACAAAGACATCGCTGCAAGGAGTCTGCCATAGGGAGACCCAGACAAAAGAAGGTGGGGCCGTCTTTCCTTCACCTTGATGAAAATTGATTTTAGGGGGATGCCAATACCAACAGCCTCCAGACTAGCCGTCGGCCGCCAAATGTGCCTCCCAACGACACCCCAGACGGTAGAAGTGGGCGGAGAAAGGAACGTAAAGTAAGCTGGGTTAGAAAATGGTGACCTAAAATTTGATAAAGTACCGGCCTTATCTGGCACGAGTCTGCTGCAGAGGTAGATACGAAAAGGGCCGGCGATTCAGGATTTGGCTGAATCCGAGAAATGCTGCTAGCGACGCTACCTAGTACAGTTGGGCGGTTTCCTTTTATCACATACAATTTGCTGCTTAATCAAACTCAATGTAATGCGAAGGCGGATCAAAATTAACGCTAGCACACATGGCACACGATGACAGAAATTACAGTAAAAGAGGGAACGTTTTGATACGCCTTAGATGTCGGGTGACTGATAATATCAAGGTGTTGCGTAGTTTCATGTCGCTGACATTTAAGGAACAAAGTTATCATCATCACCATCTTTTCTATGAGAGCAATGGAGCAGTGAGAGAGAAACGGAGCGGAAAATTTGAAGCCGATCCGATACCCTGAATTCGAAGAAGTTAAAGACGACACGAAAAAAAGGAAATTGTCAAAAGTGTCAGCCAGTATTCAATGAACGCTAGGCCAAAGACGCTAGGCCAAAAAAATGCATTCGTATGATGTTAAGAATAATCGAATCTTGCAAATCATCCTTCCAGTTCTTAATTTCTGTAGCCAGTTAATCCAATCAAAAACTGCCGATGGCGTCACAGTGAGCGTGGCATCCGGTTTAGAAGCTGCCACCACGGCTCGTCAAAAACGCTTTTCTGACAATCAAACAAAAGCAAACGGAGAGGCAATTCATTTCTTGTTAAATACATGAAAGTATCTAATCTCAGTTTCTACGTCAGGACGGGCATATCAAAAAGGGCCTGCTGAGCCAGTGTCTCTTTGTGTCAACTAATATAGATGTTATCATCAAAACATGGAAGACTACCTTCTAGAAGACTCTCTATGTTCTAACATTGCCGTCATTTTTTCGGATTCCGCTTTCTGTTTCGGAGTCTATACTCTGTTCTGGAGTTTCCCAATGACTTTAGTCCAGAGCTAAAGGAAGTTGTTGGCAAAAGTGAAATTGGCCACTTAAAACGCACTGATTCTCTAGCCTGGTTACCAAACCTATTATAGCTCCCGAGTCCTACATCCTCTCCTCTAGTTGCGGGGAGGATGTAGGACTCGGGAGCTATAATAGGTTTGGTAACCCGGCTACTGACTCTCAACTCCATTATGCTTCATAATGTACAAGACATGTGCGTTTTACTCAACTTCTGTCTTCATCGACAAAAATGGGAGTTTAACCCAAGCCTGGCCACTTAAAACGTACCGGCCATTAACTCTGTTTCGAAGATACGAGGGTTTTTCCCCGCGCTTATCTAGAGAATGGAAATTGAACCCGGGTCTGCCCCTTACTCTGCGCGTGTTCCAGGTGTGGTCGGCAGATAACAGAGACCTGTCCTTTACGGGACGGCCTGCTGTCGGCTGCGGCATGGCTGATCGACGTGATACGATAGACCGGGTGCTGATGACCAATTACACTCCGATCCCTAATCACGGAGTTCCTGCAGATAATGGCCACCGGTTAACGTTAAGCGAAAGACGTCTGTTCTTTGGACCTTACCACGCTTATTAGTCTGGTGAAATTGAAGTTTTGTAAGAATATTCAGAAGCAATTTTGAACGATTTTGATCATGAAAGCTACCACGTGATTGTTTCCCATATGGGTATAAACTTTTCACGTCTAATTTATAAGGTAAAAAAATCTGTCCTCACTGTCTGTACAGTAACCAAAATATTTGAGTGGCTCCCATGAGCCTTGTTTTGTGGTGAACATGAAGTAAATAATTTAAAAAAAAAAATTTTCATATCACTCCAACCAAGGATATCTGTTACAGTTATCAATATATGAGAACTCATGACTCTTAGCTTACGCCTAGGTGTAAAATGTATGCATTCATGTATGTATGTATTCGTTGTTCATGGCCATATACGATATTAGGGTGACAGATGTGATTGAAATGTACTTTTATTTAGACGGCAGTTTGGTTTGTTCGAATGACATTAACTGTGAAATTATGTTAGCCGCGCAAAACTAAATCACAGAAACAAAACACTTCTTGTTGTATGTGTCCTGCTATGCTTTCTTTCTCTTCTGGGATGGGAGGTTTGACTCATGCTATTCATAGTTTTTCAAATGTCTTGTAAACGCCTTTCTCCACTGTAAAAGTGGCTGCGAGAATATAAGTTGTACCTAACTTGAGTTCGCAGTCACTTAGTCCATGCCCTTTTACTAGTATTCGTATTCATCACTGTGCTTCTGAATAAAAAAAATGTACTGAAGGCCAAAGTGACTGTAGGTCCGCACACGTCCCAAGGCCGTGTGGGAAGGGAGACTAGTCACGGTCCTTCAGCACGCGTACGTCTGATCCTCCCACATTGTCAGGAGACGTGCGGCGTAAGTCCCTTAAGTACGGCGGCGGCGATTTTAAGCTTATCTTCGTGAATGGACAAGAATGCGGCAACGTCTTAGCCCACGTCAGTTTGCCTGGAACACGCACTCATCATGTTCTTTATGAAAAATTTGCAATGTAAGATAAAAAAATGTCGACTTCAATGTCAGCCTGCCTAATTCTGCTGTTTTCTTTCGTTCTCTCTCTGCAAGTTGCACAATGGAATGGTATTGAAAAGTTTGCATAGTAAAAAAAAGCAAAAGTCAACGTCAATGTCAGCCTCTTGACATATCCTGCATCCTATCTAAAATTCTGCCAGTTGTATTGTCCTCTCTCTCTAGTTTACGCAATGGAAGTGAAAATTTTCATACTGTAATAAGAAAAAAAATACAAATGTTGACGTCAGTGTCAGCCAGCAACGACTTGTGACATCTTGCGGCGTGCTTAAGATTCTGCCATTGCTTTTATCGCCCTCTGCAGGTTATACAATGGGAGTGAAAATCTGCTTAGATCTGCTCAGTGAGAAAAAAATGTCGACGTTAATGTCAGCCTGCGACGACTCGTGACGTATCTTGCATCCTATAATATTTAAGATTCTACCATTTTCTTTCGTTCTCTCTCTGCAGGTTACACAATGGTATTAAAAAGTTTGAAAGAAAAAAGTCAACGTCAATGTCACTATGCAATGACTTGCGACATCTTACGTAGTACTCAACGTCATTCTTTTATCGTTCCCTCAGCTCTCTGCAGGTTGTACAATGGGAGTGAAAATCTGCTTAGATCTGCTTAGAAAGAAAACAAAATGCCGACGTCCATGTCAGCTTGCGATGCGTTTCGTGACGTATCTAGCTATAGCGACCTATTTTAAAGTCTGCCATTGTTTTAATCGTCCTCTCTCTACAGGGCACACAATGGCTGTGAGAGTTACGCCATCGAGCGTTTGCGTCATCGGGCTGCTGGTCCTGATGCTGCTGACGTCACACTGCGATGCCTACAGCTTCCGGGAGAAGAGCTTTCGGATGTCTCCCTACTACCGACAGTACGGCGGCTCCTTCAGAAGGATCCGGGCCGACCAGCAGGCAGCTGCGTTCTCCGAGACAGGAAATGGTAAAACTTAGCATGAAAGTTCATTTGTGTTGGTATACATCATTATGACAAAAAGGGCTAAACGCTCAGACCAACACTGAGTAAATTGAAACTTACCCAAATTTTCGGCTGACCCCGTCGACCTTGTTCACGGAATGGACCTGTCTACTGCAGATTTACAGACAATTGTTTCTTCGATGAACACAAGTCTACAAGCATAAAATCAAAATTTTCAGTTACATTTAGCAACTAATCTCCAAGCAGATCATACGGTGGCAATGGCAAGGCGGTATCCATTGGCCAGAGGAGTGTCCATTAACCACCAGTGGCTAATGATACTCCTCTGGTCAATGGACATGGCCTGCCACGGTATATGATCTGCTTGGAGATTATCTAACAACACGTTCTCATCTACTGCAGGAAACAGTGAAAACGCCGACGAAGGCGGAATCTACCTGTCCGATCTAGAGGCCGGTAAAGAAGGTCTCCCTCAAAATTCTCAGTTACATCTAACAACACGTTCTCTTCTACCGCAGGAAATAGTGAAGACGCCATCGATGGCGGGCTCGACGACGAAGGCGGAATCTACCTGTCCGACCTGGCAGCCGCTGAAGAGGGCCTCCCCGCGGCGGAGAAGCGATCCGCGATGCTGCAGCAGCTCGCCCAGCAGCTCAAGAACTCCCGGCCGCGCGAGAAGGCCGGCTTCGCCTTCAGGTTCGGGAAGAGGGAATCGCGTAGCGTTTCGTGAGGTTGAAGAAAAAGCGACCACCGCCGCACGAAATGGTATCTTTGTAGTCCCTTAAAGCACTGTGCGTAAAGGTATGACTGGTTTATTGCACTTCCAAAAGGTACAGTATCGCAGAAGCCCTTTACAGGGGGACTCACTGGAATTGCACTGATCTTTCACAAAAGTACAGCTACACAAACCACATAGTCACTTAACACTTAAAATACAACATGTCATGTTAGATTACACGTTAGGTACACGTGGGCGAAGAAATGGAGACTTTACGCATGTTTTAAGCTGTGCTGAAAAAATGGATTTTGTGCAGTGGACTGTTCTTCTATGAGTATCAGAAAACAAATAGTAGTATGTAGTCGTGGGTGAAGACATGTTTATGACATGGTTGTATAACATTGAATTGTCACTGTAGTGTTCCAGATTGAGATACAGAATAGTCACATACCTCACTTCCTGAGCAGCATTATATAGAACAAAATTCCTGGCCCTAGCTCTAGACAATCGATAGTGTCGAAAAAATACAGAAAATACACACACATGTACGCTACGTTTATCCTCATCCGATGTAAGGAAGTCAAAGAGCATCAGTGCAAGTAAATACTTGAGTTGTGAAAGATACATTGCCTATGACTGATATTGAGATCTTTGTCTTTTTCGTTTCTTAAGCTTAAACTTAACCAAAGACTTGCATCAGAACTCAGACGTTCAAAGCGTAAAACAAATAATTATTCCATTGTTTTGAAGTACTTTTTCATGGTCCGACAAGAGCGAGGAATGTCTGATATGAGCATAATTGAGATAAAAAGATGATGAAATGTAAATGCGGAGCAGCCGGTTATGAATGAAGTCTCTCAATCGCTGTCTACTTATCAGCAATACGAACAAGATACAGCCTGTAGTACAATGTAGCAGGAGGGATGGGGCCGCTACTGGTACTGGTGATAGCTAGCGTGGTTCAAGCGACAGGTGTCAGGTGGCGCTTCGTGAAATCGTAGTACCTGTTGGCATTCAGTTAGGAGCAACGCAGAGTTTATTTTTCAAGAAAAAATACAGAAGAATAGAGAAAAAAACTTGCTAGCGCCCGTCTATATCTGCCTAAATACAACTTGAGTGACAGAATCTCGGTCACAGTGTAAAATCTAGAGACCCACATGTTGGTGTACGGAAAGGCTCCAATTAACATTTCGGTAACAGTGCAGCCGTCTACACCACTTATTGATAGCGTGTTACTACGATCTGGTAAAGGACAGACCAGTTAACATGCATCATCATCATATTGTCGAGCTAAAATGATTACAAACTTGGCCAATTGGATATAGGGATTTTCTTTTACACAACCAGTAATGCCTCTTATATTGCTTATACCCCCGTCACATTGTCGACGAGCTTCGGCCGTATTTGTCAATCGCCGAAAGATCGGCCGATTTTGAGATCGACCGACGATCGCGCGTATTTTTGGCTTGAAAATCGTCGCGGTCACATTGTGCGAGGCTCGGGCGATCGCTTCGCAATACATCTATGATAATGAAGTCCCTATGACATGGCACGCAGATGAAGCAAGGCCGTGTATCCACCAAAAATGAATAGTTTGACCAATCTTTATGTTTTACCTGTCGTTATATTTTTGTAAGCAAAGTAATGGAGCGGACTGGCAGAATAAAATAGAAATACAAACAGGAATTCTGTGAAGGATCCAACTTAAATACTACCACAAGAGCCACAAATTTACACTACCGTCTGGTTAACACAACGACCACCTTTTTAACCAGACAGGGGTCGGCCGAAGCTCGCTCGACACACGGGCGTACGTCGCCCGAGTTACGGTCGACGATCTATCGATGCTCGCACGATCTATAGACCATTCTACCAAAACGTAGAACAAGACATAATGATTATCATGATATCAAAATCTTTTTATACACGCGTACCTGAACAAAGCTAATAAGATATATTGTTCTAAAACTTTGCCTGTATACTTCTGTCTAAAATAGTATGAATCTTCCGGTAAACAAGCCATTCAATGTCAACAAAGTAGACAGAGGTAAAAAGACCCATGCAATATAAACTTCAACTAGTAAGTAATATCTATCACATGACGTTCTTGTGGGCGCCCTAAGAAAAAAGTCAACCTCATTCCAGGATGAACAAGTGTAAACGTCAATTTATTATACAATCTTCTGAAATAAGGCCACACACCTCCTAAAGAGACAAGAGTAAAGAATTTCATGTGCGTTCAATCAGTTGAGGTCAAAATCTAGGCATTTGGCCTTATATAGTTAAAACTTCGTCATCTTTTTAAAGTGGTTTTGTTTATTAAGGAATGTTGATTTAACAAAAGGACAAAAAGGACGATTTTGTCTATTTTTATCCTTTCTCGTAAACTTAACTTTAACAATCAATGGGACGTTGCTCCTGCAAACTTTACACAGTATACTGTCAATGAAATCTCAAATAAATGTCACAGGTGCTGAATAAATAATAACTTCACAGGAGCTCGGCCGAGGCTCGTAGAACCTTCGTCCGACACTGGCACGAAGCTCGCTCGAAGCACGCACGATTTAAAAAACTTTGCGCAAGTCGGGCGAGGTACGGAAGAGGGTCGCCCGAATATTTTGCGAAGCTCGCGCGAGGGTCGACCGTATTCAGCGACCGTCGCCCGATTTTCAAAGACGACATACGGCCGAGACTCGTGAGATGTACGTCCGAATATCGGTCGACTCTTGGCCGCACAAGGGCGAGCTACGCGCGAGCTGGAAACGAGCTCTGCGACGTCAAAAATCGCCGGCGACTAGTCGCTGATGTTAAGAACACGTTTCGCGTGTCAGCGAGCTTCGGCCGACTCCAAAAAATCGCCGGCGATCCCGAAAATTCGCGCGATGCTCGACGGAACATCGGGCGTACTACGGCCGTAAATGTCGTTTAGAGCTCGCCAACTAGTCGGCCGATCGATTTACGCGCAATGTGACGGGGGTATTACGAAAATCCCAAAATCCTATGTTCTAGCTATACTAGACTCTATCAGACTTCGGGAGGCGGCTGGAAATAGTAGGAATCGGCCAAATAGAGAGATAACATGCTAGGGGAGTTGGTCCGCCAGAGAGTACAGTTTGCCGCACCCGGGTACATGTTATCTCTCTATTTGGCCGATTTCTAGTTCTTTCCAGCCGCCTCCCGAAGCCTGGTAGAGGCTATGTTCTACCTACCAGATGAAATTATTTTCGGAATCGATTACAAACTGCGGGAATACAAATCAAATGTCTTCAAAGAAATCCTTTGTGACGATGGCTTTCAAAATCAACAGGTGGGAACAGAGAGAAACCCCGCCAGCACTGACGTAACTGACGTAACGCCTGTCAGACATCAGACGCAGCTGACGTGGGGACGCAAACGATCAGATACGCCCGCGGACGGTTGCTATAGCAACGGATAATGATGGTAAATCCTGTCCTCCTCCCACGCTCTGCATCACTGGGACAAATCACCGTGGAAAATCACAGCTAGTGTTTTCAATTAAGACAACGACATAGCCGTGTAGGTACCTCATGTAATAAGTAAACGTTGATATGAAGTAATTTATGATGGTTGCTATAGCAACGGATACATCATCGCTTAATGATGGTAAATCCTGTCCCCCGCCTACGCTCAGCATTCTGGGCTAAATCACCGTGGAAAATCACAGTGGTTATTTTTTTTCAATAAAGAGAACGACAGAGCCGTTTAGATATCCCATGTTATATTCTATAAGCTACTGATAGTACATGTAGGTGCTTTATTAAATTTCATACAATCGATATCATATTTCTTAAACCCCTGCTACATGTACTACTGTACATGTGAGGGAACACCATCGGCAAGCAAAAACATAGGATTCCTTTATAAAGACCTTCTAACATCAAGCTTGATGTTTGTTTCTTCTTCTGCTCCGATGTGATATAGCTTCCTAAAATAGACGTTCTGGTGTTGATTTGGCTTGACGCGTACAGTATGTTGATTAGGGTGAGGAGATGCACAGGCGAGCGAAGGTGACGGCAAACCTGTTAGAGTCGCAGCACGCGAACCTGTTGAATTGAGTCCAGCTGATTAGACGGAAGCCGCTCTTGAGAGAAACCCCCACAGGGGAGCTAGAAATCACCCGACAGAAAGCTAATGAGGCATCAGTATAACGCGTCTAGCCACCTTACAGTAGAAATAGACACCTGAAATCATGCTGAAATACCTGGCGCGTTACGCAATGCCATCATCTCTGATGTCTGTTTGAAAAGGCGGTTTTCCGATTCGCGGCCATTTCAGAGGCTCGCTTATGCTTTGAGCATGCAGGAGCAAAAGGCTGAGCCTGCTCCTGGTCTCGCCCACGCGCACACAGACGCAGGGGTTATGTCAGGTCAAGGTCATCTAGAGCAGGAGCAATCAGCAATTCAGCTAAATGCGCCGAACGCGATGAATCACGAGCAGGCTGGGAGGGAGCGGAATAGCGTGAGGTAGCGTGGCCGAGCGGTCTAAGGCGCTGGTTTTAGGCACCAGTCCGAAAGGGCGTGGGTTCGAATCCCACCGCTGCCAACATGTTATTTTTCTTTCTGCCAAAGGATAATTTATTACCATCAATGTAGATTAGTCTTATTTACTGTAATCTTAATCTAATTGTAATTTTTATGTGTAAATAAAGATTTTCCGTACGGGCTGGTATGTTGATATTCGGATGTAAAAGGTGAATATTGGTATGTATTTAGAATATGCTCGCATCCTATGAGGAAGGTATAGATGTTTGGAAAAATAGATGTATTCAGCTAAATTCGTCTAATGACAGTAATGAAACTCTGACCTCCCATTCAGTTCATTTTAAGTTCTATATGCTGAGTTTGGTTAATTATCCTTTGTTATCTCAGGATAAATCTTTGTTATGAATTTATTATTATTATTATTCCGTTATTTATTGTTTATCTTAAATTATGTTTGATTGATTAATTATTGTACTACATGTATTTTTGTTTAGTTAGTTGGACTCCAGGAAGAGTAGTGTAAACTTTATGTATTACACTAAATGGAGATCGAAATAAAACAAACAAACAAACAAACAAATGAAATCTAGCCGGTAGTTTAAATTGCCATTTGAAGTTTGCCAACCTAACGTAGGTTTTTCTAAGACAAAATCTTTTATTACAGATCTCCACAATTTTCTTTATGGGCGTACACGTTGTTAGCTTTCCGAAGGCAAAAAAGGAACCTTTCCGAAATTGTAAGGTTGCCAAAATATGTATCATTTTGAAAATCTTAAAAATCTGTTCAATAGAGTTCACCTCCAAGTTAGGTAGAAGAATACACTCATGATCAAGGTCGTTTGTATCTATTAGTTAAACCTCGTTAACAACCCCGGCCGTCTTAAATTCGACTAATTCTTGGGATACTCAGTCCTAGTCTTCACCAGACTATCAAATATGGTGAAAAACAGCAAAATTCAGCGAAATAGGGGGAATACTTGGCCGGGGGAGTTTGACCACCTTAGACCTAATTTTAAACCTTAACGGTAGACCCACTCCCTGGCCAGTCGGGCCATGTTTTTGCCGAGTTGTACTATCCAAACCCCCTTACTCAATCCTAGCACTTTACATTGTAACAGTGCGAGTTCCCTTTAAAACCAGTGTTTTATTGTTACCCTTTCAGATAATGGACTAAAAATAAGCCCCTTGTTTTAGTTAACTGAATGGTTAAATGTACCACAGGAATCCAGGCTGGTATGGCAATGGCATTCCAATCATTTGACAACTATGCAAATGTCAGCGTTCGCCGGCTAGCTGCAGTGCACACGTCTACCGCACAGTGACGCTTTTGTACTAGCCAAATGTGAACATACGTGTTGTCACAAGGGTCCTACTAGGAACAATATACAGATAGTGTGTTGTAATTCCAAAGACATTACATGCATGTATATCTTTAGTAACACTAAGAAAGAGGAAAACATATGGTACCAGTTTTTAAAAAGGGATTATTTTCGAGGATCTTTAACAAATTTAAAGCTTTTAAAAATATCTTCTGGTGATGTTTAAAGGAAAAAAAAGTGTGATCCAATAACTTGATAAAATTCTTTATTTGCAGTGAAAAATGTTCACAAGTATGAGAATCACACTCAAAAACAAGTAAATCAAGTTAAGATGTAACAGCTCATAAAATAACTACCATAAATTCAAACAGTCAACAGTGATTATGTAATACATCATATGAATACACTACTAACAGAGCTATACAATGCATCTCTCTACGAGTCTACTATACATATCACCCATCCTGTACGTATTTTCCACAGTAAGAACAGAAACGGACCCGTAGCAACCTAAGCAGTCTCCTCACAGATGTGTCATGTCTTTGACAGGCTGATGTTGAGACCAAATCGAACAAGAGACCCTGTATACTTCCCTTGCACAATTACGGTAACGTATTATTACACACTTGGCAACCGTACCCATACATATATACATGTACAATGCAACTGAGACGTACCAGATTTTAACTAATAAAACACAACTTCAACTGAAGATAAGTTGCACATTGAAAACTCTTGGAGTCTACTGCTTTTGTTGGTGTTAAGAAATCATTTTGCTTTTAAGTGAATGCTATTCCATCCATAACTGCAAATTGGGCATACAGTACATTGTTTTCTACCCTTTATACCATTATATATTGAACAGAAATGTTGTTCATGTACATATTGACAAGCAGCTGAATTGCAACTTATTTCTGTATATACATTTAAATGAGAATGTGTTGCAATCTTTAAAATTTGGTATTGTTATATTGTTGCACTGATAAATAAATGCAGAACTACGTTGTACATCATGCAAGCTTTCTGGCACAACAATACTTAGTTTGGCATCAATGGAAAACAATTGTAATGTCCAGTGCTGCAGTACTAACAATGTCCACTAGGGGGCATTGTGAGGATACCAGCAAAAGCAAGTGAGCACCGCCAAGTACTGTGACAAATGTCACAAGTTCTTCGACTCGAGTAAAACTGTGTATCCAAAATTGGCATGAACGCAGAGAATTCTACTCATGTCTGTGAGCTTTAAGGTGGTGGTCTGTGACTTAATCTTACGTGAAAATTAATAAATAAATCATCATCATAGTTACCAGGTTGTCCTTTCAAGTGTTTGGAATCAGGTACTAGTATTCTGTAGTTTATGGTACATTTTTGCTGCTCTGTACGCACCACCTAGCAGCTCAGCAGTGAATTGCAGACCTTCAGTTTTACAATACTAATGATACAAAGTGTCCAGATGTGTAGGGCAGGATAAGACATTGTATAACAACAGTTTAGCCAGAGTCTTTTCTTTGTTTTGGATATCTGCTAAATATGAACTTTGTTATGGAAGAATTTCGTGAGATACATAAATGTTCACCTTTACAACATTTTCACAGGGAACTGGCAAAAATGTCCCTTAGTTTATGTACATATGTACATTCTCTTATGTTATCCTTTTATAAAAGCAGCAGCATCAAATAATCTATAATAAAACAAAGTTATAACTTATCACATTCAAAACATTCTGATACACAAGTAATTAATTAACTTAGTTCACACATATACATGTATATATATCATTTTAAAATCAAGATACAGACATGCAATAAGGTCTGGACATGCTGTAAAATACATGATCTAAAAGGAAAACTATCCACAAAATGTACACAAGTTAGTCTTATTTTATACAAGTAAATAAGATGACTTAGGTAAAAGATAAGGATCTTGAATCCACTGATAAAATGTGTGCATAGAATACACTGCAACTTTTTATATAGGTAATACCATGAACACATACATGTATCTGTTCTTAGAAATAGGACCATGAAATTATTTGATAAAGAAAAACTGTGTGATTTAGAGAGGGGAGTTCACCAGATGACGGCTGGTCTAAAGCACTTTTAAAGGCGACCTTTTAGATAATCTTTCAGGGCCTTTTTATACATAATTTGATGCTTATACTACATGTACATCAGACAAACAAAACCCTTATTGGACAAGACATCTCCATACACTCAATACACTTAACGGCTTAGAAATTATGTGTACGTCACTTTCTGAGGTAAACATCTATAAAAGACTTGCAAAACTTCCATTTAGATACATGGCATTTGTTGACCTGTTTCCATTTATATTTCAATACATATAAGTTAGCTCTTTTTCACCCAATGTTCCACTGCATTGTAACAAGCAGAGTCTTAGTGTTGAGGAGAATGCTTAGTGTTTTAAAAGCTGGTGTTGACTGTATCTCTTTCTAACTGGACAATAGAGCTGCATACTTTGCTGTAACAAGAAACTTTACATGGAAAATGTCAGTTTCGCAAAAATACCTTTGAGTCTAGATCTCTAGTTGTCATTTTGGTTATTTCATTCAAAAAGCCTCGAGTAGGTTTTAGTTTTCATTCATACTAAGTTATTTTTAGCCATGAACCAAGTCATTTTCTAAGTTTTCCTTCTTCATTGTTCACTGTCAGGCAGCTACGTATACACTGACCAATTTTCTCTGAGACTTTTTAAATGCAATAGCTGTTGAAGCAACTGGTATTACATTGTATAATGTGCCATTTGCCAAATAGGTGACTTTTAAGCTTCTTCTATCAATAGCTCATTGCTGTCTCCATGGTTAGGCCGATGTATATTGGCATGGTGAGCTATATGTGCGCTGCAATGACTGCTTAACTGTGATATCCACTGGCATGCACTGACTTCACTCACTTCAAGCTCCAGTACCTTACAGCTCTGCCCAATCTGTCCATTGTAAAATTTGTACACTGTCATTGCCAACCAACATGGCTAATATATAAACCCTTTATATGCTGGACGGATAAAAACCTGGAAGTTGTTACGTAAATTTGAATCTGTGTACTTGTGTTGACACATGATACACACGCAAATTCACAGGACTATCTGTTCCAGGTTTAAACAGCCAGCATAGCAACTGTGACGTCATGTGCAAAAATAATCAAGGAGGTTAAATACAATTTAACCTCCTTGAAATAATTCAACCCTCATCAGTGCAGATTTCTTCCCTCCATGTTCCATACTGATGTCTTCTCACGGTGTGATAATGTGCAACAGAACTGTAAAGGAACGTGGCATTCCTTTTGTGGGATGTTCCCACATGCTTGTTGTCCGATGATGTGTCCTTGCATGGTACACGTACCATTCCAGTAGTGAGAGATAGTCATTCTGCATGTCCACTGATGAAATGAAGACTAACAAACCACAGACACTATGGATCAGCAGTCAGTATATCTGAAGACATCTGAAGACATGTTGGTCAAACCCATGTCTTCAAAATGCCACCGTTTTTTGTGGCATGTCGCTTCTTGAATCACTCCAGTAGTAAAAGTCATTTTGCATGTCCACTGATGATGAAATGATGACTAAAACCACAGATACTATGGATCAGCAGTGTATGGACCTTAACATCGGTCAAACCCATGTCTTCGAAATGTCCCCTTTTTTCGTGGCGTCCCGCTTGGGAAAGTTCTCGAACAGCGCGGCCCTGTTCTGGTCCTCTCCCTTCTTGACCCAGTGTCCGTATATCCTGAACGCGCAGCCGTCGATGACCCGGCGGATCCCCCGTACGCGGTACGGGTCCTCGGCGACGTTCTGGAACGTCAGGACCTGCTGACGGTTCAGCCCGGCCTGGAGTCTCTGCGTGGCACATACAGCAGCTATTGCAGCCTGGGAATAGGGTGATGAAACACAATTCATTTCTATTTACTAAATTTTCTGAAAGCTGCATAGCCCTATTCCATTCAAATTGTCAAGAGGGCCAAGACTACAGAGACAAACAAGCATTATTAATCCGTTCCGACAAACATGAGCGACAAACAAGTGTTGAAATTAACAAATAGCTAGAAAATGCTGGATTTTTCCAGCACTCAAATCTAAATGTACAAATGTATCTACAGTATCAATCTAATATATTCTGGTAGAAAACTTTGGATATTCCATCCCAAAGTGTCATAAGCTGATTGTTAAACACAGGATTCTTCCAGCATTCAAATTTACACGCATGTCTAGAATGATGATTTAATAGATATTCTTCAGTAACTCAGGATATCCCCTCAAAGTGTCACAGGCTGATAGTAAAGCCTTGTTTTTATCAGCCCTGATGCACAGGGTGAGGCTGCGGGGTGATCTTTATCATGATTGATCTACAAGCATTACATGTAGGTGCAGTAGAAGCTTTCAGTAATCCACGTAATGACCCACCATTATGTGTTTGCCTCTAACCCATAAAAGGTACATTTAAAAGACACCTACTGAGCAATGGTTAACTTGGTAGTAACTTCACGTGCTGGTAACACATTGACAGTCAAGACTGTTTCATTGATACAATCTAATCTATGTTGCCTTACCTTGAATTTGCTCTTTGCATCAAACTTGCCCTTTTCAGACGGCTAGAAATTACAGAGAAGATATAGGGTTAAGACAGCAATACAAGTATTTGCAGCAATTCTACACACGTTAGTACTAAGAAAATACTCCTTCAGATACAATGTATAATCACTTGTTTGGGAAGAATTCAGTTTTAGAGTTGTTCATTCTTCATGCTTTATATAGTCATGCTTGTATCTGTGGAAGACCTCGTAACATTAACAGTAGTGAACATTTGTGAAAAATGTCAAGTTGCACATCAAGTATACAGGCATACTTTACTTAACCATCAGAAAAGGTAGGGAAAAAAGTCACCATTTTAATTTGTTCAACATTATTTTCTTTCACATAATCTTAAATTTCTATCATCTATAATGGCAATTCACCTTTTTCTAAAAATTTGGGTCAGAAACCATTTACATGTAATTGAACAAACTTCTGATTTTCTTCAATCAGATAAAACCTAAACCTCAGTCTGTAGTACAGATTTCTGAAGCATCTCTGACATTGAGAGGTTAAATGTAAAAGCCAACATGATGCAGAGTGCATCCAACTCTGTAATTTTCCTTACTGTGTTGGGAATATCAATTGGAGGATTTCACATTGGAATTTCAATGTAGTGACCTGACCTACAAATTGCTTCTGATGTCTCCAAAAGGTCTTGCTATGATAACTCAGGGCATGAAATTGACGAACATGTTTTTTCTTTAATTTTCCCATAGGACTGAATGATTGTTCAGTGCTGTAGACTTTTAATCTAAATTTTTCTAAATCCCGGTAGTGAGTGTTTCTTTGTATTTTCTATTTATCATTGCAAAATTCTAGAATTAGACTTCTTGATAAATTTTTCCTTAATAAAACTTGTCTAGTACTAGAACTACTGGTAGTACAAGACCATGTATTTCCTAAAACATAACTATCATGTGTACTAATAAATTTCACACATAATATGTTAGAACTTCAGTTCAAACTGGATGAATTGAGATAATTTCTAGTACTCCAAATTTCTGGTAAATCTAAGTACAAGTTCTAAGATAAACTGTTAGTCCATGCTTTCAACTTTTCATCTTAATCATTGCTCTAGATGGTACAGTACAAAGAACAACTTATGCCCTAGGTAATACATGTAACAGTGTAACATATAATACATTCAAGAAGACTTATATTAGTACTGCATGCAACATTCAGCAAGACAATGTCAGTAGTCATGCAGGATGCATGCAGCATTCTCATGTTTGAAGTTTGGACTCAAAATCTACTGTAAGTATACTCACAATAAGGGAACATAAAATGACAGCACATGGAACAAAGAAACAGAGGGGAATAAACTTATGTGGAAATAGCGGACTCCCTTTTTAAAAATCAATGTACCATCTTTTGTAAGAAATACAGAATGCAAACTCATGTGATGCATCTAACATGAGTTTGCACATTGTTTTTTTTTTTCTTCTTCATTGGAAATTGTTACAAAATTTCAAGTGTAATCTAGTATACATCACTTCAGCAGCTGAAAAAGGTTTTGAGTCATTTGACATAGATAGACTTTCTCTAGGTCTGTCATGGTTGTTTTTTCTCAAATGTACCGACTTCATTAGTGAAGAGGTCTAGTTTCACAAGATTATAATCAGTGCTCTACTCAACAATCATGAGTTTGCATAATTGCAACAGCTAGAAGACGGAGGAGCTTAAAAGGGAGTCTGCCATCTCCACGTAAGCCTATCCCTCTCTGACAATAAAACATTTTACAGCTAAAACAATGTCTACAACTACATCTACTACTAGTATATACTACAAATCATAAATTAAAAGCAATTGTTCGTCATTGCAGTAATATACTGTCAAATTTAAGTACATGTTCATGTAAAGCACATGTACATACATGTATTAGATTGTCTCATTGGGACTGGTTCATATATCTGGACACAACAATGACATTGAAAACTACCAAAACATCCATACTTCTTTCTAAAATCCACTAGAATTCTAGTCACCTTCAACACCAAAACTAGCAAAGTTCAAGCATGCAACACATAGCCAAACACTATCTCTGTAACCTTATGCCACAAGTACATCACATATTGAGGGCAGAAATTATCATAAAAAGCAAAAGGGCTTTTGGCTCGGCTCCAGAAAAAGGTGTTAATTCAGACTGAATCATTCCACAGAGTGTAGTTTCTGAGTACACAGTACACATTCATTTAGATAATTTCTACACAACAACCAGATGCTAGTACCACGGACAGCACCAAATCCTGTTCTTGGTCTTAGAAAATCTTTTAAACATTTATTCAATATAATCTGGTTTTATATACATGTCATACTATATTCTTTCTCAAAGAGCCATTCCAAATATCTTTTCCTTGATACATTATTTGAAGGTATGTTATTACTTGATAACACCTCCTGACCACATGCAAGCAACATGCCCATCCTTTCATTCTTTCATCCAGCTCATTACTAGTAACCATGCATGCTCTAGAGTTGCTGTGGAAAGTGGAAGTGAAAGCTACAGAAAAGGGTGAGCTTTAGAAGACATTGCTGTGTCCAGATGTAACCAGCCATACCATTGGTTAATTTTGCACTGCATGGTTGTTAGAGAGAGCATGATTGGGCAGTGGGATCAGATCACACATCGAAAAGAACAGCTGAGAGGACTACCGTTTTTCTGGGACTGCGAGATTTCCGCAAGCGCTTCTCAGCCCAAACTGCGTACTAAAGAAGACACCATGCAGGAGAGATCCATCAAACAAGCAGTAATAAACAAGCAAAAACGGGAGGTGACAAACTATGAGCCAGACCAAGGCATACAAACTGTACAATATGGTTTAACAGTTAATGTTGTAGTCTGCTATAATACACATGTATCAAGAGTACACAGCCAAGGTGTCTTTAAAAGTACTGCTTTGTTTTGACATGATAACAGAAGTGTTAGAAATATTAGAAGGCTTGGATGCTTTAAACATGAAATCAGTTTCATCTTTCCCTAGCAATCATAACTTCATAATTTCTGCTTTGAATCCTGTAAGATTAGTGTGCACAAAGAAACAACAAGCTTAAGGCAGCATGTATCAAATAAAACAGCATACTTTAGCCACTTGTAAGTTATAGGCAAGACAGAAAATATTGTTCGATGTTGTTCATTTTAACCTCCTCACCTTAACATTTTAACAGTGTAATAAAAATAAAAATGAAAGATGTTGTCAGGAGACTTCTCCCTCAAGCTACAATGGATCACCCCTAGACATGTCAATGTTGATTTGACACCTTTTAGGGACAATCCATTGTTGCATGTAGGAAGCGGATTGCGAGGAATTTCAGTCAGTTTGATATGTATGATTATTATTGTATGAAGTTTGTATCACAATCATGATCATAGCCATTGGTCTGATTCATAGAGAAATCATACATAAAAACATAAAAGTTAACAGTCATTGATGGTCTTTCAAGACATAGAAGACAGTTTCTTTGGATCATGCGAGAATGCTGTAGAAGTGTCTCCTGTCTTTTGTCAATCACACATGCTGCATGCTTACATGACATTAGACATGATTACCGGTACATAATAACGGACAGGGGTGCCTGCAATTTTCTTTCTGAGCAGAGGTTGGACTTGTTTTGGACATTTTGGGGCATTCTGTTAGGCTTTCTATTTTGTCAGCTTTTCTATGGTTTGGCCAGTATAAGAAAAAGCTGACGTGTAGAAAGTCCAACAATGTACAGATACATCAAATTATCCATAATAGTAGTAGATCTTATTGCCTGTGATGAATTTCTAAAGACAGCTGTTATGTGAAATTTGTTTGAATACTGTAATAGGCACCCCTGTAAGTTTAGAGTTAGGCTAGTATAATTAGTAAGGAACTTGCAATTTACTGGGAAAAATCTACTTTGCAGCGCATACAAGTATGGGGGCATATATCGATCAAAAGCTTCCAGCCTCCTGTGGTTTCAAAGCATTAGTGCATGACATTGTTATTTTACACACCGTAGGGTATAATTTGTTGCTACACGTGCAAAGTAAGTCTTCTGAATCACTAGGCCGTGGATATAATCATATTTGCGTTTGCCGTTCCGTTGATTTTAATCTATAAAGCATAATCAACCCTGATGAAGCAACTACGCATTGCCTGGAAATATATGTTGTTAAACAATGAAACAAAACATTGAAATTCAGTAAGCTTTGTTCAAGGCAGTTGTGCTAACCATAGAAGCATAATAATATCTTATAGCAACTACCGGTATTGTGGATAACTAGCTATAAAACATGACTGATTTTGTATGATTGTTTTAATTATACCAGTACTTGCAGTCATGCCAACATGCAATAAAGTCTTACCTCGATGCTTTCAAAAAAAGGATGTTGAAGAGCTTGCTCAGCTGTGAATCTATTTTTAGGGTCTACAATTAGGAGGTGGGAGATCTGAAAGGGAGAATCACACACTCAGTCAGTTAGAAAACTGGATCATACATGACTAGAGGAGGAAATCTTTGGTGCATGAAGGGCGAGTAGGGCAGTAACAAAAGGACACTGTGCTCTGATAACAAGATTGTAGTATAGAGGCTTGTGTATTTGCAGAAAGTATTTCCAAATTTTGGCTCTTCTGCAATATTGCAGAGCACTTAAAAAAAGTATTTCGACCACTGCAGTTATCAACTTTTCTGTACATTAAGTGTAAGTATTGAATACCAATTGTAACACAATTTCAGACAGTCGATGTGTGTAATTTGAATACAATTATTGATAAATTCTGACACAGAAATTTGTCCTAACTTTATTAGGTACAATGTAGTTGTTGATGATCTCACCAGTGTCACTGACGAAAACTAGTGGATGCTACCTGAAACATCTGACCATTTTTGGAATACATATCAATATTTTTACTGGCTTAACATTCTTCAAATCCTATTACTTCAATGTCCACCAGCCAATGTTTACCGGATGTGTGTGAGATACATGTACACTTGTTTCCTCCCACTCCAATTTTGGGTGCTCCTAGGTTAACACATACATTGTACACCCAGTATTTTGAGCCCTGCACATCAATATCTTTACTGGCTTAACATCCTTCAAATCCTATTACTTAAATGTGTCTACCAGCCCCTTCCCCTGCGTACCAGGTCCTTGGACGTGTGAGATATATCCTCCCACTCCGGCCCGTCGAAGTTGTAGTTCCCCTCCATGATGTTCCTCAGCAGCATCATCTGTTTGCGATGCCAGAACGGCGGCTGGCCGGCCAACCTGATGGAACACAACAAGACTCAACTGTCAGTACAGGTTCTGTTCTAACAACCATACAGTCCGGTCTTACGCAGCTTGTACTTACATGTACAAAACTGGTGCGTTACGCCTAAAAGCGGTTTACCGGTTATGCGAAACAAACAAACATTTACTGCCTCCCAGTAGAAGGAATTTAGTAATGTCAATCCAATTGGAGCTTGCTGAAGAGCTAATCTTCCACTGGTTGTGACAGAGAAGACAGACTCTTTGTACAGTATTTACAGGTTAACTGTACTGGGTTAATTCCTCTAGTCTAGGTCTTTTTGACAAGCACAATGAACAGTGGACCACATCCTGTCCTAAGCACTGCGACCCTTTCCAGTAGCGTGCCTGTTGGCTTAGTGGCAACAGACGGGATTCGAACTCTCAACCTCAGGCAGGGTCACTAACCAGTGGACTATGCTGTCTACAAAACTGCAGGCTGGTAGAATATGAAACTGTCATAAATGTTATCTACAATACTACAGGTCGAATGATCCCTGTTTTATTCTTCGGCCGTATGGTGTTCCAATGATATTTTTAGCCTTAAAACCGAGTTCAATTTGCAGTATAATACATCATGTAGAAGGTTATGAGATAGCAGTAATACCGGTATAATACAGTATCACTGGGTTCCAGCTTTGCTTTTCAATCTCTGAACTTGAATCATATCAGCTTCTAGTGTTGCCTTGTTACAAGTGTAAGGCAAAGCGCAGCTAATGTCAATGTTTGCTCTTGTACTAAGTTGTAGGTAACCACAAGGGTTTGTCAAGCTTGGTATGCTTTAACTCATCAGAAACCTGGACACAGTCAAGTATTGTTGATAAACGTACACTTGGTGTAACATTTATCATTTCAAACCTAACTTACCTTTTAAAAATCTAATGATCATTGGATTTTCCACCTGACAAATTCCAATGCTTGCAAGTTTTAACTTCAAGGGTTGCAGTCAGTCAGGTCTACTGTAGACACTTGCACTAAGCTTGTCTATTTTTATCCAGTACTTCAAAAGAGTTTAGTCCACTAATTAGCAACCTACTGAGAACCATTCTCCTTCAAATGGGTGGGTTGTGGTAGCCGGCACATTGTTAAGGTTATCGGTAGCATGATCAGCAAATCTAAAGGTTTTAGTCCTGTCTCCAGGGTCCTGTCTCCTTTTGAAGACTACCCACATCGATGCTAGGTTTCCAACAGTGTAACAGTAATAGGTACATTGTACTAATGCTTTGCTTTTAAAGTACAACGTGACCAGAATGAACTTGAATTTGATGCACTTTGACACAGTTGAGAAACTGTCTGCTCAATGGCACAAAGAAATGAAAAATGGCATAATCATTGGTCACAAATTTAGTTCAATTTACCCGGACCCAGACAAAAGCAATCATGATCATTTCCAATTCTTCGTCATTTCTCTATATATAGTACATGTATTACGACAGCGTATCAAGGTTTACACATGAGGTACAAGTACACTTGAGATTGTCTTACCAAGTTCCCAGGTATGACTTAATTACATGCATGCATGCTTTGCTAGAGTCTGAAATTTAAGTAATGGGATACTTACAATGTGTACATGATCACACCACATGCCCACCTAGAAATAGAAGAAGACCAAATAAATATCCATTAGCAAAAATCCTATGGAAAACTTACAAAGATCAGGAAATTAAACATATCCTCACTCCTCAATAATTCATTTCGGGATCCCCAAAAATTGCCTTTTTCTAAAGCAGTAGCAACACATTACTGGAAAAGAGTTACCAATAAACCTTTTCCCTAGTATCACTGTTTGTATGACCTTCCAGTCATATTTTTATGCATAGCCTGAAGTCATATTTTACATGCATACGCATGAAATCAAACCACAATCCCCAGACTGATAGATTTTTAGTGACGTGGCTATAAAAGGCTTAGTTTGAAAGTGCATCAATTTTTGATGAACCGGCCACACCTGTACTTTACTCTGGTATGACCTCTAGACAGAAACATGCAGGTGAAATCACTGCCACAAAATCAATGAAATGACTCTTGCATAACAATACAAATAGTTTATTCCTAACACTAAATGAAAATTACAACTTCTATAAAACAGTAATGTACATAATCATAGAGAATTCAATGAATATAATGTACGATTAGTAAGTTAAGGCTAAAATAATATCCAGCACTCATGCATTCTACATGTATTTGTATATAGATGGGAGATTTTAGAAAATCTTTCTGAGTTATATAGAAAGAAAACTAGATTTGACCTCATTCTTGAATGGAATAAGCAATATACATGTAAGCAATATTAAAACTAGCCTCAACCAATGATGTACATGTACAAAGATCATGTACATGTAATATGCTATGTCATATGTGTTAGGACAACCTGAATGCAAAGCATTGCCAATATTCTTATCTAAATAGAACCGACAGTCTAAGACTGAGAACCACATTTACCACAACAAGCATATACATTGCAAGCAATGAAGCACACCTACAAATGTACACATGGTAAACTCTAGATTAAGACCCTCCTATCGTCCTTCAACAATCCAACAGAATACTTACACGGCATACTCAATGTCCTCCCGGTAACTACACGATATTTCGCTACTTGTCACAACCATCACAAGTGTACCACACTTGGCATGATCACATGGAATAACCAGAAAAATTTTCTACCGCCCCTCAACAGTGTGGATCACTCTGGGGAATATGTGGTATGGAAATGGACACGTCCACGTGTGTGTGGCTCTCATTACTGATGCACGGAAGTGTGGCTGACGCAGGGATTTGATTGATCGTTTGATGGTTACATAACGGTAACTAACAGGGCTGGAAAGACTGCTCACTTTGCAAATGAATGTTTTTCCTGCTGCCTAACTCTGTAACTAATAGTGTGCTAATGGTTAAAATTTGAGTGGTTGGAAGATGATGAAAAATAGTGAACACTGAATTATTTCACAATTTGACACATAACACAAGATTATCAAAATCTAAATGCAGATATAGATGTCATGTTCATTTGATTACTCAACAACTATTACAGTCCAGGAATTTTAACTAAATGTTGACAACTGATAAGCACACAAAAAAACGCTGCTTGTTTTGTATCGTAGGCTGGTTTGAGCTATTTATGGGTAGTACCCAAAAATACAGAAACTCCTCAAATACCTTGCTTTGGGGCTATTTCAAATACTTTTTAAAGTTTGAAGTGATATCAAAAATGTCCTAAGAAATGGCAAAAAAAATATCAAACAGATGTCCTCATCCAGAAACAAAATTGTTTTGCCACCCAGAAATTGCATTGGGTGCCACATGATGGACTCTCACACATGCCACGTACACCACGTACAGATTGTAAGTTAGGAGTTTTGAGCCCTGCACTCATACAGGCCGATAACTCCCAGACCTACTCAGGGTGACCGTACGTGTAGTCCCAGGGGCACGGTGGGTAGAAATTACCTGGCAGTACAGATTAACTACATCAGACTGGATGGACAGGACTGTCATTTTATCATTATCAGGACTGGGGATCTCATCTATGCAGCACAGTCTGGTACATTTGAGAAATATTTCAAATGATACACACAACAAAAAAGAGTTTGCTTTTGGAGCTTTTGAAACTCGCTTGTCTCAATATCACTGCGTTACATTTGTATTTTCCCTTTCTAGGAGAAATTTCTTTGACCAATCATAACTCTGTGTTACTGAACAGTTATGTGTTTGTAACTATTGGATAGCTTTGAACTTAAGTTGAAAATGGCCTGATGAATATGTAAATGCAATGTGCAATATTTTCTTTGCAAAAACAACATCACAAAGGCTTACTAATAATGATGGTAGAATTTGCCAATCTTTAAAAATCTATAACTTAGTAACCAATACAGAAATCATAGTTTCATTTTATGGACAGGCCTATTTTCTATAGTTTACTGAATATGATTTTAAAGACTCTGGAAGGTAACAATACTGCGCTTCAGTGGGATCTTTAACGATAATGTACCACCTGTGTTCATTTAGCTGGGTTTACAACGAGGCCTGACCAAAAGCTTTCATCCAGGATTTATTCCAGGCCTGAAACACCAAGGTTTAGCTGTTAGTTTCTGCTGGAATAAAGATTTTTAAAACAATCTACTTACATGTCGACCTCCTTGCCGTAGCCAGCAAACCCTTCTATCATGGAGCACTTTAAAACCTCGGGTGCGAGGTAGCCTGGAGTTCCACATAGCTCTGCAACACAACAGGAACATTTACAGTTATTACGGCTGACATTTTCTTACCCTGGCATTACTGCCAAGCCTACTAAGGGATATCTCATAGGATATTGGGGTTTTTGAAATCTCATACTGCAAAAATGAAAAAGAGAAAGCTGTCATACCTGATAATCTTCTTTGGAATATACCAGAAATCATAAATTTAGACCATTTGGCACCCATCTTTTACATGTATTCAACACACACACATCTAACTTTGATAGTCAGTTGCCGCCTCTTATGTAAAGGATTAAAGTTTAACCTTCTTTTTTTTTACATAACACAGCAAAGTTGGACAATTCTAACCCCTTTGACAAAGCAATGCAAACAAGACAGCACATGCCGCAGTATGCATGCATGTTCCAATGTACACTGCTGTATGCACTGTCACCTAGTTAAACAAGTACAAAATGTACCATACATTAAGTAAATAAAAAGGCACGTGAAGGAACAATGACCGTACGGGGACATTTTGATGGCAGAAAAAAGGCGATTGAAAATGAAGCTAGGAGAATGGATAAAAATTATATTAGGCACTGGCAAATTCTCTTTCAAACACCAAAAAATGAAAAAGGTTCCTGAAAATGTAAAAAAATTTCTTAATGAAAGGGCAAAAAGTTTCCAATGTTACAATTATTTGGGGGGACATTTCAAAAGGTTGGGACCATTCTTAAAATGCCTAAAAACATTGCTTCTCAAGTCACTTAAGGATGGCAACACATACAATTTGGATAATACCTATTCAATATGTGGTCAACTGCTATTCATATTTTCACACGACATAAAAAGGAAATGTAACAAACCTTTTAGTAGCTCTCCTTCTTTCAGTCTGACTGCAAAGCCAAAGTCAGACACCTTGATCTCTAACTTCCCTTGAATTAGGATATTTTCCGGCTGTGAAGAAAAAGACATCAAAACAGAAGGAAAAGAAATTAAAACAGAGTAGTTTTCATCAAAGAATATTGCCACGTAGCAAGCAGGAGCCATAGCTCCATATTGTACAGGTGTTTCAACAGTGATTGTCAAGTGCCGGCTTGTCACATGGGACCACATGTGCTCCTACATTGTAACAATAACTTGATTGACAGTTGCGTTGTTTCGTGGTTAGACAGAACAAAGGCGCCGTCCTGTACTTAATTAACATATGTCAACAGTGCTATACTATAGTAAATGATTGTCAAGTTCAAAGTACATGTACAGTTTGGCCTTACTCCGGGTACTACAGTCAAGTGGTAGAAATACTTTTTTCATTGTTCTGTATTGCAGAATGTCAAAATTTTTGCTCTGCAGTTCAGAAATACCTTCTGCAAATGTCTAGACCTAAACCCATGGCATATACAAAATTGCATGTTGGCTAACATTTTACATACATGAAAAATTACTAGACAGTATATACAGTCACATGGACAAGCTCACACATAGACATAGACAATATTATGTCAACACCATTGAGCCCCTAGCCTCATTTTTTTTAGCTTGCAGAATTGCAGGTTGTCTAGTTTTTCTTTTGCAATATTGAAAATGTCTCCACAAAATGCATATTGCAGGTGAGTATTTCTACCACTGTGCTACGTTTTGTATGTGTGCTCTTAAGTTAGATTGACAGTTGGCTTATTTTGTTGCTAGACAGCACCTAAGCACCTCCCAGCCCTTAATGAACATATGTAAACACAGTGGTTTGAACTATGATAAAAGAGTCCAGAGTACAGACCCCTCACATGGCACTACATGCGGCTCTAGCACATTGTTTGACAGTCATGATGTTTTGTTGCTATCTCGGTAACTCTCAAAAGCACCATCTAGCAATCAGTACAAGGAATGCAGTGCCCTTGTCAGGTTTTTTAAAGCACCTAATATATTATATAGATGAGTGAGCACAAAGGGTACAAAGGTCCAGGCCAACACACTACAGGTCATATCCAAGTGTAGTTGGCCGTCAGTGCACAAATCTGTGACTGCAAACTGCTAAGTGATAACAATGGTTTACTCTCCCAGAAAATTGTTTCTTTGACAAACCAACTAACATTAAAACAATATTCTCAGCTAAATCTAAGATGAACTAATAAGGTCTAGTTAAGCTGTACTAGGTAGTACAAATGTACATGGGGCAACATACCATTTAAAACATACAATCAAAACGTGTTTGTAAAATGTAAGCACATACTGTAAAGTACAGAAGAGAGAGTGACACGTTACCTTAAGGTCTCTATGTACAATGTTTAACTCATGGAGAAACTGGACCACTTCAAACAGTTGTCTCATCACAAATCTGTGGGAAACAATACAAAAAACATACTGTAATTCACTAGCAAAATTTCACAGTCTGAGAAAAATGGTGGTGAAAAAAATCAAGAATTACACAATTTACAATAGTATTATTAGTTGGATTGGAATTTTGCATTTGTACTTGAATGTGTAACAAAATTTGCCAAAGTATGTCTTTAGCAAACTTGAGATTTCGCCTACCGAGTTTCCCGTTCACTCAGCTCCACCACTTCTGTCAGGTAGTCAAACAGTTCTCCTCCTTTGATGCTGGAAGAAAAATGTGTTTACCTGATGAATACAATTACACACATGGTAAAAAAACAAACATTACATTATACATTTCTGTTTTCTTTAGTCAGGACAGACCAGATCAGTCACTAGCACTGCTTTACAGTGGTACCCTGGACATCCATGAAGATACAAATAAAATGCAAGAGAAAATAATTAAACTTGCAATACTAGAAATTAAACTCAGCAGTAAATCCATATTACGTGACCTGAATCATACATGTAATTGATATTCCGTGCCATGTCAGAAGGTCACAGGTCAGCTATGTTCTTCAGTAACTCATCCTTGCTTAAACCTTTCCAGGCAAATGCTCCCATGTGACTGGCCACTTTGTAATGGACCAAACAGATGTCTCACATTTTGTGACTAAAGTATTCATTGAAAACATTTTACATGCATATACATGTTATCCATTAGACAATTGTGATGATACTGCCATAGTCAGCCATACTCACAGTTCAAACACCAGGAAGATGAAGGTGGTACACTCAAACACATCCACTAGCTGAACTGTTGGACAGAAGAGAGAAAATGAGAAAATCACATTTAAGTTAGTACTTGACTCTGAGAGCATAAACTTCTGCTGATAGCATTATAGAGTTATCTTTAAACTAAAGCAGTTTGAAGGAAAGCTGCTATAGGAATTTCTCACCATTTAAATGCATCTTTCTGTTTACAAGAAAAAACTAAAATACTGTGGGTTTTCTTAAACTATTTTAGTCAATGCTAGCAAATCTAGGAACAATTTGTTCATTTTACTAGGATTTCCATTAGCATTACATGTTTTTTACACTGTTCTTCTGGGAGTTTGCTACTATAAAATAAATAATAACCAAAAACGTCTTACTGATATTTGCGTTTCTGGAGACCGTCTGTAGAATGGCAACTTCCTTCATGACAGAGTCCCTGTCTTCTGTCCAGTTCTGTTCCGTCACATCTATAATCTTCACTGCAAACTCCTGCTGGTCGGTTTTCCTCACACACCTCCGGACTACACTGCTCAATCCCCTGAAATTCAGTATAAACAATTGTTGTCATAACACTACTAGTACATGTTAGTAAGTAGCTAGTACAGTAGATCATGAAATACTGACTGAAGTTGTTGTTTACTTTTGCTATAATAGCATTACAGACAATGTGTATCAAGAAGTGCTATACACTCAAATTACTTGTACAGGTTCAGCTGCTATTATTATGTGTAAACAAATTTTGTGAACTATCTAATTATGAACAAGGCAACGATATGCCAATCACGAAATGTGTATTTGTCAATTTCTACTGAACATTACAGTTATAACTTAATTTGTCATTTTCCACTCATCATAGATTTTTTTCTTTCTGTCTGATTATGATAAGTCTTCTAATTTTCCACTCAAATGTCATCAAGTAAAACATTATAGCTGTAATGAGTCTTAATTACATTATGCCACAATTTCTGCCCAATTAGATGTGCTAAATTTAGACACAGATGAGATCTACCACTGTGAGTGTGACAGCGAACACAGCATAAGTATCAATATAATGATTGGAATAACTGCAGCAAAATTTCATTACTACTTAACTACATGTATGTTATTAGGTTCATTATTAAGTACCCTGAGAATACTTTGGACAGTTAATTTAATAAGCATATCACTTTCAAAGGAGGGAAGGCTTTTGACAACAATGACAAGAAAGATGATGTTGACCTGAAATGACCCCCAGGCTGTTGGAAATAACTGCAGTGGTCGAAATACTTTTTTTCAGTGCTCTGCAATATTGCAGAAGAGTAAAAATTTTGTTCTGCAATTTGGAAATACTTTCTGCAAATACACAAGCCTCCATACTACAATCTTGCAGGTTTATAAGCATGGACTATTGATTCATATGCAAATTAGTGAAGACAAATTTTTGGAAGTCCAAAAAGAAACAAAAGATAGACAAGTCAAGACAAGGTTGATGCAAATTAGTGAAGAAGGTCCTGTTGTTTCAGAACAAACAGTTGTCTGTCCTTGGGGCCAAGAGCGCCAAATTCCAAGTGCCAATTTTACCTGCTGCAAAATTGCAGATTGTATGAATTTTTCTTCTGCAATCTTGAAAATCTATCTGCAGATTGCAGACTGCAGACAGGTATTTCGAACACTGAACTGTGTTCATAGTTGGCACTGTTCCCTGCATCAAATTTCACAATCACAATAGCAACGATCCTTTTTTTGGAAGCATAAAACAGGACCTTCTGGCCTGACTATACTGCTCATATCTAGTTGTAGACGTTACGTAGTGCAACATGCTCGACTAGACTGTAGCTTCAGTCATTGTACTGAGAGTCAATGAACTGATGTATTAGAATAAATTTATGATCCAATGGTATACCTACATGTACCTATATGTATAGATTTGCTGATTGTTTTGTTATAAATACTATAAATATAGTAATTACCAAACATGCTTCTGGAACATTATGAATTCGAAGAGGGTTTTTCTATAATGATAAAATGACGACACAAAGAAAACCAATAAATCAATCATGAAGAAAAAAATGACAGAAGCAATACTCTGATAGCTGTGTAAGCATGTAACCTACACCGTGTTGTTGGTAACAGCTTTGAGAAAAGGCTGCAATTACAATGTATTCATCATCAGCATGTATTCAACCTGCTCTGCAAAACCAGGTCAGGAAAACAACACACTGTCCCAACTTGTAGGACACAACATACACACTGTCCCTACAAGTAGGTCACTGATCTATTTTACAAACTGCCCAAAATATCTCTATTCAGATTCTGCTATTGGATGATTTACTTATAAAGTGTAACTCTTGAAAATCTTATACTACAGATAATCTGTAATGACCTCTTGTATGAAAGGACAGTCAATCATTAATTGAAATTGTAAAGTTAACCATATTTACACATACACAATACAGGCCAAACAATGTTACTGTAGTTAGAATTAGATACAGGTATTTACGTGCTCAACAATTTTTTTTTTTTTTACAAAAAGATGTGACCATGAAATTTCAATTCAGTGGCATGATTTGCATTAAATCACTGCCAACTACTGAATAACAACTATGAACTGTAAACACTGGGGTCAAACTGAACCAACTGTGCACACAACGTTTAGACCAAAACATGCTTCAATTCCAATTTTTACCGTTGTCATCAGAGTGTTAGCAAATGGATTCTAAATGGAATAGAAATACAGAAACTGAACCAAGTCATCAGATGAAGTAAAAAGGTTAATAATGAAGGATGTAATACATGATTTTTGTAGAGTAGAGCAGAATCTTCAAGGAACTGTGGAAGTTTCGTCCGCTCTTCTGTGGTCTCTGTGAATTATGATGTGAATCATGTAGCTGTATACACCCTGGGTACTTTTCCATGTATTTTTCCAGTCTTGCTGAAGGTTTTACATTCAGAGCAATAACCACTTCTTATTTAGAATTGGCAATGCAAAAACGCACGACCAAACCTTAAGAATTTGTTTGTGACTTTAAACAAGCTTCTATGTGTCTATTTATGAATCTAGTTTTCTTCTTGTAAAATTTTCCATAAAATCATCCTAAAAATGTAAAATTCCATCACATGACCAGATGACACACGGTAAAGTTGTCCGGGTGGCACCACCCATGCCACACCCCTTTCCTACCCCCGGCCCCTCATGTAGGTCACACTCAACAACACAAGACACAACACTCACCTTCCTAGCACCTCCTTGGGTTCATACTTGGCGTAGAACTCCTTGGCATCCGACTCCTCGGGTAGATCGTCGTACATTTCTCGTGTCATGGCGTGGTGGTCTTCAGTCATGGGACCGGAACAGCAACAGACAACACCGGGAAAGACAACGCTTGTCCACTTGGAAAAATTATTGACTCACGATTTTCTAACCGTTGGTCTCTAATTCTAAACCATCACTCGATCAATCTATGAAAGATTTGACCACTTGTAGGACCTTGCCAAGTTGGAAAAACACGTCTTGCACAGCGACAAACGTTGTCTTGAGCTGTGGCCGCCCAGAACTAGGGAGCCTCACGATCTCAGCTCCGATATACTCACAAAGAATACCTTGTTTCCAACAGGACATCGACGTACAAAGTGTAACATCGAATATCAGCCACGTCCACCACGGAAAATCTCACTGTCAGTCGCCTGTTTCGACGACAATACAGTTCTAGAGCTGTCTCTGGTCCAGTGTACAGGAATGGGTCAGTGAGAAGGCCGAACGCGAGCCAAAACTGACGGAAACATTCTTCCAACGCTTCTCATATATCACTTCACGCCCGCCATTTCTGTCAGGCCTCTATAAGGTCACAAGGTCACCTGAGGATAGAAGCTTGGCAAATTTTTCTCTTCAGACGACAATTTTATCGAAGTTAAGCCAAATTTATAAGATGTTATTATAATCAAAATCCTGAGATTGAAGGGTTTGTATCCCTTTTTTACGTTTTCTTGAAAAATAGTTACGTATAGGTCAAAGGTTAGCAAGATGGCGACGGGGCAAGGGAAATTTTGTTTTTTTCCAACTTTCCATCCGCTAATTTGGATTATATGAGATGTTGTTGGACCCAGACTTACTTTGAAGTAGTTTTAGAGATACAGGGAAGTCAGGTAAGTAGATGTAACTCCACAATATCTTTGAATTTTGCTTTGTTTAAGATATTTATGGCACGAACTTCGAACCCCCTAGTCACTCCCCTTTTTCAGAAAAACAAATACTTCTGCTTAGCAGACCTTGGACGAGGCCGTGTGTACTTATGTCGAAAAAACGCCTACTAGAATACACTCACCTTGGCATTAGCTGTGTAAATGTGACCATAAGGTAGCGACGTAAGGAACTGAGAATTGCTGACCAGTACAAGATCAACTAGCGACAGTAAGTTACTCTGTTATGAAATAGTTTTCCCAAGGAAGTTTCTGATTGGAACATCCTTGGTTGTCATAAACAACACATGATTTCGCACATCCTGTGACGTCATTACATCCAGGGTAATTTCACATGTTTATTTTTCTCTAAAATTTAATTGTTTTTGTTTAGTCCCATGGGGAAGGTTGCGCACGTGCGCATGGTGACGTCAGTGCTAAATCTTGTGATCCTGAGGGCATAATTACTATAAATACCATTTGAAGTGTAAAATGTGTCAGGGCCTTCCTTGATACAATCATTCTCACATACTTGTGAACTGGCACATAAAGGGTATCTGATTTCTTAATCACTAGATATAATTTTAAGAAATAGTCTAAGTGGACTTTGGATTGAAGCTAAAACAACACAGAAAGTTCAAGGACGTTGTTTATATAACCTCCTTGGTGATACAGGAAGTTTGTAGCCAGTATTGTGTAGATGTAGATAGAAATATAAATGGCCTGAACACTCAGAATCAACTCATTGGCTGTAAGTTGATCCAACTCAACAACCATTCTGAAAGCCACGGTGCTGAAATGTTGGTTGTCAGATGATACCTGATGATACACATTATGTCCTGATACACATTATGTCCTGATACACATATATGTCACATACAATTAAAAACAGTTTCTCACCGAAATGCTTTGTCCAATCAACATGTTTTTATTCTTCTTGACTTTTTGTTCTTGTTCATTCAAAAACCATAGGTTACACTATTTTCAGTTTATTTTACTCTTATTTCACTTAATCTTAGTTACCATACACACATGTAGACCTTCTGACTTACAGATGTGTTAGTATTTAGTTGTTACAAATGTTGTAAGGTCCAGACTTGTGTTTCAGCATGGCCATGGAAGAACTTCCATTCTTCGTGTATGACCACAGTGCGCTGGTAGAAGAGGGTGATGACCTGGTGGATGCCATTATGTTCTACCATCCCAAAGCTGTAAGTGTTCATTAAAGACTTATAAGGCCACACCGTCTTAATTTTATGGATGACATCCGCGCGCGCATTGATTTTCGCCTGTCACCCTCAAAAAAAAAAAAAAAGATCACCTCCACCGAGGCTCTGGCCTGGCTCTAGGCCTGGGTAGTCCATGCTAGTACGACAAAACGGAGCCGAGCACCCAAGCTATCGAATTCGAAGCTCCACGACTCAAGAACTCAGTACATAAGTATAGTACCGATTCATAAATGCCGCAAAAAGCCAGCATGTGCCGGCTTGTCGTATACGTCGCTATGTACTGTCGGGAATTCACAATACCAGCTTTGCATTCCTGTGGTTCAGTAGCATTTTTATTTTTGGCCGGAATTTTTTTTATTCGCCCGCGCACACTAGTTAGGGGGTCTTCAGAGGATGTCATCCATAAAATTAAATCGGTGTGGCCTAACAGGGGCTTGCATGCATGTAATTTATAACAATGTGGTGAAATTTTTGGTGCCATCCTGAATTTAGTACTCTACAGTCTACAATATGTTATAAGCATAAATCATTGTTTGGACTCCCTCATTCATTAAGGTATAGAAAATGTAGCAGTGGTGTGACTGGTGTCTAATATCTGTTAATCTTTTAATGAAATTAATATAGACCAATTTTGTATAGATCATTGAAGGTGTTTCTGCTTTATGTATATGTGTAGATTTAGTGATATATATTTGTCAGAAACCAGAATCCCTCATTGTCACCTGTTGGTTGATACAACATTTATGTGCAGTGTTTTCTTTACCACACCTTTCTTGATTTGTTTCTATTGCTTTGTTTTATTTACAGACACCACTGAACTCCCAGTGTGCCCTGTGTGGCCAGCTCATGGGGATGGTGCGCTGCCTCGAGGTCATCTCTGGAGCGGCGCCCTCTGTCTTTCACTTACAGAAGTGCAAGATCGCAGTGAGGCATACAGGAAGATTCACTCTGGTAAATAAATAAAACTAGAGTTTTCAACCAAGGATTAAGGTGTTCAAAAACTCATTTTTTCCTAAAACTATCATAAAGTGGAACTTACTGCCACCCAGTACAGTAGGGGCATCAATCACTATATACTAGTAGCTTAAAACAATGTTTAGAGTTTGATGTTAAGTATAACAAGGTCAGGTGTAACAAGTTGTTCGGTGTAATATAGCCAACTGCCGCTGCACTGCATGCCCACAAAGCTGGTGTGTTATGCCAAGGGGTGGTTATACAAGAAGAGCAGGAAATACCATCTCAGGCAAAGGATAGGAGTATTTGTGTACTAGTACATGATAACCCTTGTTTACACAATCTCATGCTGGCTAGGGTTGATTGACCCTCTCCCCGGCAACTGACCAGTGAGCCAGCTGCTAGGAGCATGATTTAGTCAGTCTCTGTACACAATATTTGTTTTCTTTCTCAATTTCAGAGTCTGAAACATTTTAAATGTCTTCCTGTGCTATAGAATATTGAAGCTCAACACTATGTGTATGTTTTGTTTCATGTTTGTCTGTCAGGCTTTAGGAGCCAGTGCTGACCTCCCAAATGCTGCTGTGGTGAAACAACTGGACAACTTGTACAGAATATTCGCCTTCTACCACGGGTCATTGGATGCAGTCCTAAAGGTTGATATGTTTCTCTTCAAAATCCAAAACTAGAAGCCAGAAATTCATGTTGGCTGATATAATGTAAATGTAACATTTTTTTTTGTCTTTTTTTTGTCATTTGTAAATGTCCTTTAATGGCCTTGGCTGATATGAACCTATGTCTTGGTTTTCTGAATGATATCAAAAGTATATAGATTACTGCCTGACATATTTTGACATTACTGTTTACATCTAGCACAGTGTATGAAAATATATCAGAAAAAATGTAAACGTCTTGTCGTATTTTTTTCAGAAATGTGGAGGAGAAAAGCAGCCTTTCCTACTTGCCATGGAGCAGATTTGGGAGTGTTACCTGCCGTATATCAAACACTACAGCAGGGTGGTACCGGCTATCTTTGATGTCATTCCTTCTGTGCCTTTGCCAAAGGTCAGATACAGATTCAGTCATAGTCATACATTGAAAAACTCTGCCTGTGAAATATGGTCAAAGGTTTATTTCCCTTGTGTGAGCAGCTCACATTCTGTATAGGCCATAGAATACAATTCTGCCATCTCAAAAGAGATCAGAGTCAGGTATATGCATTGTGCATGGAGGGAAAACATGTTCAAAGAAAACTGTTGTTTTACCCCTGTAGTCTGCTGGTGTGCTGTTCCTGAGAGCTTCTCACATCCTGCAGTCCTGCCAGAGGAAGCCAGGGGTCCTCGCTGGCTGTCTCCTGTATGACAGCAAGGTTTTGTGCACCCAACTTTCTCCCGAGCTGACGTCTAGACTTCTCCTCATCAGGGCCAACCAGAGCAATGTAAGATTTCAAATTGACTTCTATCATTTTCAATCAGAAGTAAACATTTTCATATTTGTTGTACTGGTACTAGACTACTTTTATATGTGATTCCTTGTAGAACTTTTGGAATGTTTATTAACTTTATTCTCTGTTTTCTTTACACAGCATCCAGCAAATGAGGTGGAAACAGGTACGTCATTGTAGAATCTGGTGATATTGTGTGACTCATAACAAAGTGCTGCCAGAAGGCACACATAACAAAATTGAAGGGAAACTCAAAATAAGCACAACATTCTTTTGGACATTAAGTGTCTAAAAGCTACCAGTTGCTGTCCTACTAGTGCTACAAAGTTTATGCTGTAAATTGAAAGTTGTTAAACCAGCTCCTACTTATTATTAACACTGGTCAACTAGTCGGGGTAACTTTTCCTTCTCTTTTTTCAGGCTTCAGTCTCCCATTTGGAGTGCGAATCCTGTCGGTGTACCTCACTAAGAAGGAGTACCGTTCCTTCAGTAACCACTCTCAGAAACTCTTCCCCACAAGACAGAGGCACACCCAAGTCTCCTCCTTCCAGTCCCCAGGAGGGGGGAGGAGAGTAAACAGAACAGCCTCGGGGGAGAGTGCGCAGAGCTTGCGTCTCCGTGGAATTGGAGACGGGTGTGAAGCGGAGGGGGAGATCTCCAGAGAGCAAAATTTCATATCCCCGCCGTTTCGTCTTACTGATTCTATCGTAGACAAGGAGGACAAGCAGTCAAGCCATACCAGCACTGAATCTTTGGGAGAAACAATAAGCACTGAGGCTGACACAGTTTTGAGTGGACATGCAGGAGGAACAGACTCTGTGTTGAGTGGAACAGTAGAGGATGATAGAGTTGCATCGAATACAAGTTCAAGAAGAGATTCGTCGCAGTCAGGGACCAGCGTTAAGAGTGGCAGCAACATTGGAGCATTAGACAGCTATGAAGGAAAGATCTCCATGTCTTCAGCAGAACTTGCAGACGAAAGAGAACATGGTGGAATTGATGAGGACAGCTCCATGCTGGTTCTGAAAGAAGAGGATCCTGATTTGCCTGTCTCACAGCATGGTAACAGTCTCAGCAACGACAATCAGGTTAGATCACCTGATGTGCAGCTACCTAAAGTGCAGTTTGCAACAGAAGAAACTCAAAGTTCTAGTGACAAAATGTTGTCTGACGTGGAGCCTGGGAGGGCAAATGGTACTGAGGAATCAGAACAATCTTCTGTCAGTGAGGAGAGAACTGACTCTTTAAGACTGGAAAAGGAGGATAACAATATGAGAAACAGTCCTGACAACATGTCTGCCACTCAGGGTGATGTTGTTGATAAAGACGATTCTCAACAGCTTTTGCCAGACCAGCCCCACCCCAGTTTTGATGATGTCAGCAGTACAGGTGCACAAGAAAGGGACGCTAACTCAGGGAAACCAACAGGTGTTTGCAAGGAAGAGTCTGATTTGTCGAAAGTTTCAGAGAATTCAAACCAAGATGACTTCAATCAGAAGTCTCTATGCAACGATCATTCCAATGAAAGAGGCACAGACATTGCATCAGAGTTGGAGAAATGCAGTATAACAGATTCGAGAGAAGTGCCTGATGAAACTGTTTCAGTAGATGAGAAAGATGTTATAGATTCAGAATCTGTTGCAAAGTATAAGAATGCGGAGGGTTTGGATGCTTTCAGTGAACTTACAAATACAGCAAACAATGCAAATTCTTCTGTTGAGGTCATGTCAGAAGATGTTCACGAATCAGAAGAACTGTGTATGGAAGGGCTGGACGATGTCTCAAACTTAAAGCATGCAGACTCCTTGCAAAATGCAGATGTGATCACTTCTCAAATCTTCAACGGTACTGATGAAAGAATCTGTAACAGACAACAAGAAACTGATGGCATCACAAGTCAGAAAACTCCAAACACAGCAGAAACAAGTGATGACACAGTTGAGTCAGAACTGAGAGAAACAGAAGTGACCCCCACCCTTCCAGACTTGACCCCTGAAAGGCAAAATGGTGGCACTGTCCTAGAACAAGAGTCTTCAGAGGTCATGGGGTCGAATGAGTTCAATGACCCCAGCAGTGTAGATTCTCCCAATACAAGCCATCTCTCTGTGCCGCAATCATCAAGTGACCAAAATTTGACTCCCACTGTGGCAGCAGAGGATAAGTTACAACAAGGATGCCCGAATGCTTCTGATACACTTGAAGGAGAAGACAATGAGGCTGAAGACGTAACAAGGAGGAAGACATCTTGTGCAGACACTAAGCTCCCAGGCCTGGTGAACGCGGGGCTGTACATACAGGGCCACTCACACATGGTGCTGCTCATGTTGATAGAGAGAAACTGTCAGAATGACCTGCCTACAATGCAAGGCCTGGTATGTATAGATGTCAGGGTAGAGGCTTGATCCAGTAGAGTTGGTGATTCTACAAGTGGAGATCAGAGTCTTTGTCGACAGAGAATGCTGTTATTGTGATAGAATGGTTTCCAGTTTCCATTTACAAATCCTAAATTTCAAGCCAATCCATTGATCTAAAGTGACATGAATCAAAGGTAAAAAGTTCTGACTGTCTTTTAAGCAAATAGCTTGAAATTTACAGAGTCAAATTGGGATCTCTGACAAGTCTGATGGTAAAATCGGCAATGCTATCAGCAGAGATCCTGATCAGAATTTCTGTCGACAGAGACTCCAATATTGGGATCTCTTCTACCACTGACTGTACTAGATAGGAATCTCTAGCCTGATATTACTGTACAGTTTTAATCTTACATTTTAACAAACAATAACATACATGCAACCATACTGGACAATTAAGCCGCAGATTTGTGTTTGACTCCCCTGCCTTTTGTCTGTAGTGGAAGACATCAGTGACACAGTTAGGTGAGTTGGAGGCACAGCTGAAAGAAGTGGCTTTCCCGACCAACTCTGGGGTAGGTACTTACCAGTGCTGATGTGTTAACAACTAAAACATTGCTACCATATTCCTTTGGTTGGCTATGTAATCTCATTTAGTGTGATGTAGGTTTTCAAAATTTGTATGTAAATCTCATCTGTCTATGTTAAACTTAGTAGCAATAGACGATTTGTCACCAAATTTGTGTTGGTTGTGGGGTTAGGAAGCAGGCATATTAGGTTGAACATTTAGGACATCATTACTACTCAGTTGTAAGTTTGACATTTCAATAATTTGTATAAAATTATCTATCTGTTTCAGGCTACAGAGGAGGGATACAACTTTCTGCACTTTGATGGGTTTGACAGATTGCTGAAAGGTAGGCCTCGGCTTAAACCATTTATCTGGCTATTAAGGAAGATAAAGAATGATTTTACTTGTGACTTTGCGCTGCTGATAACAACTACATGTATGGTGGAAAAGACTGATGTAGTGTTATGTCTGTTAAAAGTGTTCTTGACAATATATATAGTTACTTATTACAATAAGAAAATGTGTTCAATACTTGTGACAGCTGTCTCTTAATGTGCAAGACTTTCCTTAACTGTATAGAAGTACTTACATAACCAAAGATAGACCTCCAGTTCCTAACTTCTGCCCCCTCCCCCCTTCCCAGGTAACCTACAGGAGCCAGTGTTAGCGCCTGATGTGTTGTTCTGTAACACAGAGTGACATGTCTGTAGATCCTAACTCCTGCCCCCCTCCCCCTTCCCAGGTAACTTACAGGAGCCAGTGTTAGCACCTGACGTGCTGTTCTGTAACACAGAGTGACATGCCTGTAGTTCCTAACTCCTGCCCCCCTCCCCCCTCCCAGGTAACCTCCAGGAGCCGGTGATAGCATCTGATGTGTTGTTCTGTAACAGAGTGACATGTCTGTAGTTCCTAACTCCTGCCCCCCTCCCCGTTCCCAGGTAACCTACAGGAGCCAGTGTTAGCGCCTGATGTGTTGTTCTGTAACACGGCACAGTTCATCCACCAGGAGTTCCAACAGTCTGACACACTCAATGATGTCCTGGTCAGGTCAGTATCAAATAAACAACAAAGCTACAAATAAATACTAATGTGAACCAGTCAGAATTACCCTGGGGCAGGTGACAGACAGTCACTGAAATGTCGGTTGAATAAACCTCTTGGTTGTGTGAAAAGAGTTTCATTATTCAGTGACTTACCGACCATCAAAAACTACAAAATGTATCCATACTTTGCCTGGAGTTTTTGCTGGTGTTTCTGATTTGTATTTTTTCTTGATGATAGTTATGCACACTTGATTCAATGGTTTAGCACTCAATCCTAGCTAGTAATTGGGATGTTGAATCTCAGAGGTGGATAATTTATGGCTAAACTTTCTAGATTAACCAACTTTGTTTGTGTCCCATGGGGTGGGTAGGGGGACATGTCTGTCAGGGGAGTGATGAAGTCTTCAGACCTGGTTTGTGTAACATGAAGATGATGAGTGGAGTCTTCTCATCTTCTTCATGTTACACAGAACAGGACAGGTTGTGACAAGGTTTTATATTCAGCCTCATGAATCTACTACTACTACTCATGAATCTATGGGTATGTTGGAAACATCACCATTACTAAGAGGATAAACAGAGAACATATTTTAGTGACTAGTCATTAATTATCCTGATGAAGGCAACAGTGGTCGTTGAAAATTTTATCCTTTGTATCCTTTGTGTTAGAAAATAAAGTTCAGTGTCGTACTATAACAAGTTCTTGTTAAGTCACATTTATTGGGCCAACAGTAATAGTTGACAGTGACACATGGGTTCAACCAGTCACAAAAAGACATCACGAAATTCATTATTTCATCTTGGAAAGGTTGCAAGCCTTTGCATAACAGGAGAGTATACGTTCAGAAGTGATTTGTCATTAAATATCCTGATGAAGGCGACAGTGGTCATTGAAAGTTTTATCCTCATGTATCCTTTGTGTTGGAATATAAAGTTTTGCATCGTACTATGACAAGAGTTCTTGTTAAGTCCCATTTACTAGTACTTGGCCATTTGCCTAAACCAGTGTCCTCAGATCACCCATCATTCTGTAACATCTGCAGGTCGTGCTGCTGAACCATAAACGTCAGATTAATTCTAAGCTTGTTAATTTGAAGGGACACAGAACCTGATTATCGGAGTAGTTGCCCTTCACTGTATATATCACGCAATTAAGACGGGGTCGTATTTGCCGGGTGATATTCACCATCCATATGAGCCCCCATCTGCACAATGTCGCACAGTTTTGCTGTCACTAAGCCTGTCTTCAGCGTTATTGTCAGTGACTATGTCCCCATCAATTAACGCTTCCACACAGGGTACCTCCAGGCCACACCAATCTTATAAAGTGGTTCTTGGATTTGCCCACTTCAAATTGATTTTCTCTGATTTGCAGGGAAAAAAAGGTTTCAGGCTCTGAATTAACTAAAAAAATGCTCATATTTTGGCCCGAACAGTTGAGGAAAGTCCCTGTCTTACTAGTTGTCACTACTGTATTATTCCATCAAACAATGCAGTGCTTTGATTAAAAGTTCACCTAGCCTGGTATGTTGACTTCATGGCTCCTATTGTAACATTTTGGGCTATCATAGGATGCCTAGGACTCTTTTTTTTTGCCCTGCTGCTTCATATTTTTTCTGCAAAAATCTGAGAACCAACAACTTAATTGAAAATCTGAACACGAGGCACTAATCAGCACCGCTAAGCTAGCGCGGAAACCACTTTGTATTCTCGTTGAAATTGGAGCGTTTCGGCGATAGATCATTTTCCGATCGGGATGCAGCTTCCGTGCCTGCCTGCCTCGCTGTAACGATGCGCAGCCGTGTTACCGCATTAATTGAAATCCACAAGGACATAATTATGACCTTTCTCAACGTCAACCACCCCTGAAACGTAACCGAGCGTACTCAGTTGGGAGTACAGGCGGCGCGCTGGTTTAACAAACATTATCTGACTTCCTCTCGTTAAAAGATTCACCCATGTGGAAGATAATCATCAGTTTGACGACGATAGCGGTGCACAAAACACAGGAAATCTGTCGTTTCCTAACCGACAATTGTGGCGTCGTGTCTAAAACATGCGTGACGTCCTATATGAAGTCCCCCGTTAACACATCAAAGAGTTTTACTGTGTAGGTAATACCTGAAGGAAGTATTAGGTCTAGACTTCAACATAAGGTGTGATTGTCGTCACAGTCATAATAACACTTCCCTATAGACACCCTTATTGTCCCAATGTCTGTAGTGGTTTATTGTTACCAAAGATTGTTACCAGTAACAATGAACTAGGCCTAAACATGAGTGCATTGTTGACAATGGTTCATCCCATAGGTGATCTTTATATTGTGTTCCACCCTATTGTTATCCTACAGGTTGATAACATGTTGTTGCCGTACAGGTTATGTAAAGGTAAAGCAGTCAATCTTAACTAAGGTGAAGCGTGATACTTTTATATGTAGCCATACTGAAATTCTAATGAAACCTTTTCCACGGCTTGAAAATAATCAGTAAAGCACACCTGGTCACCCCTAATTATCTCAATAAATGTGTGGGTTTTTTCACGTGCATAGTATACTGCAATTATGTTGTTGTACATCTGCAATGTGGGAAAGAGATGATAACAGTGTACTTGTTTGACTGGTGTAAAATTTACAGGCTCAGTTCTCCCAACTTGACGTCCCTAACACACATTTGAAGCCCCTAACAAACATAGCCTAATGTAGCCTCTATATACTATCTGAACTCCCCCAACCATGGTTAGGAGTAGGTTAGGAGCAAGGTCAGCTGTGGTTGGCTGGTATTCAGAGAGGTCAGCTGCCCAACCGAATGTTTCAAAACATTTGTGTGTGGACAGGATGTTGGGCCATGGTTGAGGACTTTTTGGCTGGTGACTTTGAGTAGGTCAGCAGTAGTCGCAGCGTGGTTGGCAGTCAAATTTGAATAAAATTCAACTCAAATTCGAGTCCTCGGTCATATGAGACACGAAAATGTAGTGACACTTTATGGCATCACCTTATAATAGATGAACTGAACTGATTGATTGATCGATTGATTGATTGATTGTTACAGGAGCCAGTCTGCGGGTGTGTACGGGAGTCGCAGTCTGTCCCAGGAGACGTTTTTCCAGCTGCGAGGGCTGGGGAGGGGGGGTCTGCAGGGGGTGCCCTCTCCTCACGACCCCCTCTTCAACCTGGAGAACCGCGCAAGGAAGAAACTCCTCAAGGATCATCACATCACCTTCTTCTGAATCTTCTTGGATATTGGGGTTTTCCTTTACACAACCAGTATTGTCTCCCCTTGCTGACATTTCTGTGTCTATCAGACATCTTCTCAGAGCTTCTGACTGGAGTTCTGCTTCTCGCCATTATATGTAGCCAAAGTAAGCAAGGTGAGACAATACTGGTTGTCTAAAAGAAAATCCCTATATGATAGTATATCCTAGGCTTTACCAACCTGATGAAACTATTTTTGGAAGTTTTTCTGTACTCATCGTAAAGGCACCCAAAGCAATTGTAGGGCAGTAGAACTGGATTTTCAAACTCAATTTTCTGGTCATTTTTTTTAATGTACAATGTATCAAGTTGAATCAACCCTGTCCTATAGCTTACTGATATCTGTGAGGCAAAAATGCAATCACTGACAGGAAAACGGTCTTGCTTTGTATCATAGGCTGCTTCTAGCTATTTTCTTGCCAATAATAAAGGGCTCAAGTAGCTTGTTCTGGGGCTATTTCAAATGCTTCAAGTATGAAATGATGATGATTGCTTGGATGCCTTTAATTTGTAACAATTCTTTGAGGTTTTTTTGTCTTGAAGACAAAGACAAAGTGGTAATGTACTTGTACAACGTATTTTAACCATGCAACAGGAATACATATCTTTACATACATAACAATGCTAATGTGCTATAGTATAACTTTGAATGAAATAATTCTGAGTACAGTTTTAAGGGTTAGAAATTGTGCTATTTTGTGACACTGTCTCTGCAAACATGTATTTAATGCGGAAACTGACGTACACTGGATTTTACTGCGCATATTAATGAACTTTAGGGTCATGTTTCGTCCAACCTTTCTCTATAAGGACTAAACGAGGGATTAGTGAGATTAGACCAGCTTTATTCTTAATATGTCTGTCTTGATTACTAGACTCACTGCTTCCTGCAAATCCACAGTTGCAATGAGTTTGAATTTTAAGACCAAGGGATTTCCTTATTATTACATAACTGCATTCTGAAAACATGTTACAGATGTAAAAAAAAACTTGATTACTAATAATGTGTTCTTCTCATTATTGGCTGCCAGAACATATGAATAATTGCTAATTTTATGACTCGAATGTTTAATTAGATAGCTAATCACAGTACACAATTTGAAAGTACTGTCTTTGGATGATTATGTGATGAGGTATAATTATTTCTATGACTAGTCAGACTAGTTATATAACCATTGGGGTGTAATCAGCCCCTGACAGTGAGAGATTGTGTAACGCAGACTTTTTATGACCAGCTACTTGCCAAGTTGTAAATACTTCCTGTCATAGTACTGATCACAGTGCAGAGGATTTGTACATAGATTTTATTGCCGCTTTGTACAAGCCATGCGTACACATGTGACCTGGGGTCAATTTTTATCTGCAATAAAGGTACATTTAAAATATGCGTTATTGGAAAGTTATTAAGTCATAAGCACTACACACCTTTCCTGGCAATTTAAGCATTGTTTAATGCAGAACTTAACATTTTGTACATTTATCAGAAACAGAATTTGTGACTTGGGGTCAATTTCTACCTGCAATAAAGGTACATTTCATTTTAAAATAAGTGTTGTTGGAAAAGTTATTTAGTCCCAAGCACCGCACACCAACACTAGCTTAGGGTTGTTTAATGCAGAACTTACTCTTAGTTATCAAAAACAGATTTTGTGACCTGGGGTCAATTTCTATCTGCAATATATAATCTAATACATGTAATATACATTGTTAGAAAAGTTATTCAGCGAGAATCATTTTTTCTTCTCTGGCTAAGCTCTGTTTCATGTGCATCTTACTTTCAGTTATCAGAAACAGATTTTTAATGGCATAGAAATGAATGACGTAACAGGTTGAATACATGCTTCCTTTACGTCAATGTCTGGCGGCACATTCAAACTTAATTGTATCCTTGGGTCGTTACATATGACGTACATGTGATGTACATGTACTCAACAGGATCCAGTAGTTAGCATGTGTCAGGGTCTCTGCATCTGACTGTTTTATGTATTATATTTCTATTTGTCTATTAGGTCTTCAATTCAGCGTAGTTTCTACACTCCTTTATAAATTATATTTTACTGATCTTCTTAGGGATCGATCCTGAACTGGCTCTCAGGCCTTTTTTTCAGGTATAAACCGTAGTAATCTCCAAGCAGATATAGGTCGGTGTTTTACACACGTTTCGTGGGCGTTTTGATCAGTCTGTCTATTAATTAAGCAGTCCAAGCATTTCTCTAAGAAGGAATGGAATAGAGAAAATACGGACCGCCAGAAAAGACGTTTAGAAAACCTCAAAAACACGGGAGTAAAATACGGAGCTACACAACCTATCCTTACATCCCCTAAACCACCGTTAGAGAGATTCGTCAGTGCAGCAGGAGCTATACTTACATGCCCCCAATTTGAAAAGCAACAAGAACAGCGTGACTTTGATCTTTGTATTCCGCATGTGCCACGAACTAGAACGAGTCACACACATGGAGTGTGTTTCTCCAGTCTTCGGGCGAACTCCTGCAGTTCAAAGGAACGATCAAACGTGGCTGAGAGTTAATATTCATCACGATTCAGATTATTACAGCAAACGAGCATTCCCTGGTGGGACTGTTCAAGTGAACAAGTCATAAGGAATACTGATTTGCATCTTGCCGTAAATATTCTTGAAGGACTACTTTAAAGCTTAAGTTCAGTTCATCCTTCGTAGGAGGTGGCATTGGTGGTGACCCTCCGGCAAACATGGCCGTCCATGCCAGCAAATCGCTTATAAGATAATGAATGAACAGTGAGAAGCCATTTATATTTGTACTTGTGTTATTCAAGAGTAGGTTAAACCATTTTCTTGTCTGTTTCAATTGTAAGATATCATGTTAAACCATGTAGTTAAAAGACACATTTCTTTTTTTTAACTCCATGGTTAAACGAAGTCCTGACAATGCGTTTTCAGACCTGTCGCCACATAGCTTTAGGACCTGTAGGGTACCTCGATTAACTACTGTTTAGAGTCCAGTGATATTTTCTTTCAAATCCTCTGCGCCTAACTGATAAGTGAATGCCACAGTAACGTGAATCCAATAATTGCATCTTAACGGTTTGCATGTATTAATACCGGGGGTGTAGCAGTATCCTAAAGGTCAGCTCTATAACTGAGAAAGTGTTCCCGGAGACAGACATCTATGTGCGTAAATTAAGTTCAGGCCGTAGGGCAAAACTAATGCGAGACTCCAGCACTTTCCTAAAAGTTCTTCTAGCGTCTTTTGTGGTTGGTTACTCTTTCTACTTTCAACATTTCCGCCAAACTTTTCCATTATCCCCACCCAAGGGCGATGTTTATCAAGCATTCACGTCTGAACATCCTCAGTCCCAGTGCGTATCATTATTTCAGGTTGTAGGGGCAGTTTATTTACGGAAACGCACACGGACTGTAGAGTAAAGTACAAAAACCGGACGTGCGAGGTGTAAAATGTGTGATGGAAGAGTAAATTCAAAAACGGCCCAGGCAAAACTGCCGAAGCTTGCCTGTGTGATGTGAAAATTAAAAAACTTCCTTCGGGTGGTATCATATTATCCGTTGAATGGCCAAGAGCGAAGTCACTTTTAACCCAATTTTCTTTTCAATTTTACATTTCCCGACTAGTTCATGCCCGACAGCACGAATGAAAACACACTGTTACTTGTTTTCTAGGACTTTCTGTGCGTGTAGAACGACCCTGAACTTTGTCGATTGAAACTCGAACCAACCAAACAAACAACGAAGCAGGCATTCTTCGGACACTTGGTGACTTGGGAAAACATATTGTCCAAGCATCCGCCAAAAACAGTTACTCAAGCAACTGGATATGAGTTTGGACACGATCAGACGTTTCAGGTAGTATCCAGTAGAGACTTGCAGGAGAAAGGCAGGTTTACAAGCATTGTTCAAGTATTGTGTAAAATCCTCTTAATACGCAACTACTCTTCATTATTTATAGCACTTGGGGATTTTTAAAGCCGCGTAATCCCTTAAATCTCTCGAAGGAGGCGTTTCTTTTAGTGAGAAGTCAGTAACGTCATTCTGCATTAGATCAATGATAAACAAAATCGCCGTTTATTTCAAGATCGGTCCCAAATGTCAGTTGACCTTGTCGGTCAAAATCGCAGGTGTTGCCACTGAGAAGCAAATGCGAAGGACAAAGTAATTCAACGGAACGGCTAGCTTTCAAGAAGCTTACAAGCTTCGTGATCATTCTTGAAATGTCTAGTGTCTAGGTCAGCCATTAGCTGGTGTGTTACACCGAAGGGAGGTTATACCGGTTATACAGACACAGATACATAGTTTTGACTATGCAAGTGGTCACAAAGACTATGAGGAAGGGAGCTCTGCTGTAAACTAGGGCGATGGTACTATTGCAAGTAGCAGCAACAGTTTTACAAAAAGTTTGGTAACATTTGAAATTCTCTATGGCTCTTCTTCGAGTAACAAACTCCTGGCATTGCAACATTTGGTCACGTATTTGTTTTTCATTAAAAAGAAGATGAAGAAAAAACAAGTTTCCTTTCGGCAACATCAAAGCTTTCCGCGACCAATCCCAGGCGGACGCGGCGCGTGGAACTGCATGGCAACGTCTCTGACGTCACGGGTTCTGGGGGCGTGGCGACGGGATAAAAAGTCGTCTGATTCGACCTGCTCTCTCAGACATCCTCCCGACTGAACAGCCACGAGCGGACCGCGAAGAAGAACCAGGAGAAGTAAGAAGACGAAGGCAGTGTATCATCATCCTCATCAGGTATGTTATGTCCTGCAATTCTCCTCTGGTCTCACAGTCACTGACGAAAAGTAGTGGATACTAACTGAAACGTCTGACCGTTTCCAAATCATATCCAGTTGCTTGAGTAACTGCTTTTTGGCGTATCTTATTACCTGGATGTCTAACCTTCATCGATGTATGTTATTTCCTGTTGCTTTACTTGGAACCGTATGTAGTAGTAGTAGTAGACTTATTTAATAGTTCATATCAGCAAAAAGCTGTATTGGAA